AATATACTGTATAGTTTAATTTGTTTCAAACTTGTTTAACTTCCGTGAGTTATTTGGTTCGTTTAGGTTGTACACTGTCATCTTTGTTGGCCTATTTTGAAGACCTAGTAATCAAATTTTTAATTTTTAAATTTTTCTTAAAAAAAAAAAAAAAAAGGTTTCCATCATAAACTTCTATTTTCCAGTCGACTAACTGCCTGATCTCTCAAAACTGTCTTGTCAAGAAATTGATGACAAGACCGATACTACTGTAATGTAGGCTGTTATTCATCTTATCTTTTTATTTTGGATTAAAAAATGAATTATTGTTAATTTCACTTTTTTGTCAAAAGACTTCAATTATTCAGGAACAGGGAAAAATAAAATCTGCTGTTTCACTTGGTTTTGTCTCTCTACACAGAGAAAAACAGGAAGATGCTGATCCGCACGTGTTAACAGCCCATCTACTTTCATGATTAGAGGCTTATTGAAAAGCAGTGAAACAGGAGATGAATTTGGATGGACTCTGCTACTTTGGTCCACTTATTCTGGACAGGGTTGGACAGGGTTTCATCCAGTTTACTAGACGTGCAGTGAATAAGCATGAGAAAACCAAGTAAGTAATATAAACTACAGTTATTAGGCAGGACTGTAGAGTGGATTATGGGTGTGGCGAATGGTGAAGTGGGATGTGAGTCATGTGGGGAAGTAAGAGGATAGTGCGCACAAGCTTTTAAGGAAGCTGATGACAAGAACATATCTCTGCTCCCATTGTTTAGTGCTGGGACAGGTCAGGAATCTACGTCTTGTACAAACACAGTTCTTAAGTGTTGCCACATTGTATTGACAAGAAGTGCGGGAGTCTTTTATTTTGGTTTGTTAACTCTGTTTTTGTACTGCAGTGATGATATCAGACTGGAGATGAGAATCTCTTTATTGTATGAAATAGTTGAAATGAGTCTGTTCTAATGTGACATAGAGAGCCTCCCTCCTTTTGACAATATTCTACAGGAGCTACCAAATTGATGAATAATGCATGTAAAGCAGTCAAGAGTAAAAGTAAGTCAAATTTGTTGGTTTTGAAATGTTGCCTTTTTTACTTACAATATTTCCCCTCTGTCCCTACAGTACCAGTGCTCGCTTGCACAAACTCTGACCCTTTTATCCAGATAGACGCCGAACCCTCCCAGAGCAAATACTTGAGTGTCAAAGCCTGGCTGCTACAGATGGGTGGTAGTACACACAAACTGAATAGGAGGTCATCAAGTTGTTAAAAAAAATGACACCTGTCTTAAAAGCCTGAGAAGATTTGTTGCTGGGAATTACCTTGCACCTTTTACCACACCTACAAACATCAATCACCGGAAAAATCCTGTCAGCTCCAACGGGTCGCCTGTCAACACAGGTAAGTCTGTCAAGTGGCTGTTTTTTTGTGGTGAGTGTGATCCAAAAGACGCAACATATTCTTTTGATGCGTGTTTTTTCTTTTTGATACTTGATAAACCAGTCTCCATCTTGATTGTGGCTTTCTGTGAAGCTTCTGTTTAGCCTAATTAACCCATTATTAATACTACACGATTGCACTCTTAATTCTTCAAGAAGTTTATTCAGTTACTCCATTCTGAACTGCTGGTCTGGGTTTTGCTAGGCTGATAAACACAATGATGGCACATGTGGTTGAACGTGCAATATATGAAGGGGAAAGTCAATTAAAACATCAACTAAATGCATCATTCTAATGTCACCAGAAATTTAGATAAATTATCATTAATCAATTATATCAGAAGACAGAAAACATGAATATCGAGATATTTGACAACCAAGATAGAGGGTTATTTAAAAAAGTATCCAATTAAGCACAACTGCCAAGAAACAATCATTTTATGAGGATTTGTCCACTGCAAACATAGCTACATATTTGCATTCACAAATTGACTGTATATAACATGGATAGCATGTCTTAGTGACATCTACGCAATCTTCGTACGCCCACTGACTGTATCCAAGTGTCAATCATGGAAAATATGACTTAATTTCTCATTTTTATAAACCCTAATATCTTTTGAAAATGGAGCTGAACAGAGAAAAGAGGACTTGAGTACAAACCAGTCCAATAATAACTACATATCAATATCCCAACCAGGGGCAAAAAAACTTGTAAAGGACTTGTATTTAATTTTCAGTTTGTCCACAGCCCCATTCATTTAGCTGGAGGAGGTGGGGTTTATGACCTATACAGCAACCAGTCACCAGGGGGTGCTGTTCTAGTGGTGGCTTCACCCAGCGAGGAGGCAGATGACGTCTATTCTTTATACAGTCTGTGGACTTAACCTGACCTAAATTATGGTCAACCCTGACATTAAGTTATTGTAAAGGTGGTTTGTGCTAAAGTCCTCTTTTTTTCTATGCAGCTCCATTTTTAAAAGTTATCAGGGGGGTCATGTTTTCTATGATTGACACTTGCTGAGCGTCATCACAGCGACTCGCCCGCCGAATGCGTACAACGTTCCTGGTTCCAGGAAGTGGAGAAAATCCTGGATATACCAAGAGCAATTTGGCTTCAAATTTGTACAATGACGGAAGGTGGAGCCAAGTTGCCCATAGTATATACAGTCTTCGGTGGAAATGGAGAAAGTGGCCATTAAAAAATGTGTAAACATTACTTCTACTGTGAAAATGGGCGTTTTAACATGGGTGTTAATGGGGTCTCCTGGGCTTTTGGAGCCAACCTCAGGTGGCCACTCAAGGAACTGCAGTTTTTTTTAGCATTCCTACATATTTTATATCTGGAGGGTGCTGCCTGTGTCCACCCCACTTTTTTGGTCACTCCTCCTGAATTAAGGACTCTTTTCAATAAAACTAGCTCCTTCTTCTGACTTTTTTTTGAACAATGCATCTTTGTTTTCTAAAATATATAGCTTATGACCTTAAGAGGGAGGAAAGTGGTGTCCCTGTCTGCCAGGTACACCTGAGTAGCGTATCAGCTGCTTGCAAAACACAGTGAGTTTTGCACATATTTGTCATGAGACGCCCACCCCTGGGATTTTATTTTGAAAATGTCAAAATAGATGATTATATTGGGTGATTTGAGCTGTTAAAAGTGTGAATACTTAACATGAATGTGCTATAAGAGCAGGGAGGGGTGTATAAAACGATTCACAAAGACAGGAGTATGGCCCCAAGAGCCAATTTTTTCCTGTATATGCATGGTTGTATGTGTGATGTGTGTGCACATGCAGTAGGATGAATCTTTGTTAGCTCTTCTCTTCTTTCTGCTTATCCGAATTTGTTTCCTCATGGTAGCAGTTTTTCACCACATTAGATTTATTCTGCATATGAAGACATGTGGTTGTCATAATAAATGCTATCAAAAAGACATGCTCTGAGTCTGAGTTTGTTTTGAAAAGGTCTACTTCTGCTCTTGAGTTTAAAAGTAACTGTTTTTGAGACATTGAAAATAACCAGCAGATGTGAATGGCATGTACAAGGCAAGGATTTGTTTTGCTGGGTTTCTTGTAATTACTTTTGAGAGCTCAATTATTTTCATGGGGATGAAACGTGAGTCATTGCTGACTGACCTAGTTTGGTCTCACTTGGACCCCTCAAAAGGACGCGTGCACACCAGAATGAATGGAGAAAAATTCCCACAGTGAGTCACAGCAGCATGTAAAGTAAAAACAGTGACCCTGCACCTGAATAACAAAGATCTGGTTGACTCATTTCAGAGTAAAATTACATGTAACCTACTTGGCATTTTATCAGACCAAAGACCACTGGACTGAAGACTTGAGGAATTTTACCAAAGAACTGTGCACTGCAATTAAGAGTGGTGCCTCAACACATCACATATGCTTTCAAAGTTTCTCCAATGTTGAGTAAATAGATGGAAACGATCAGCTGGAAAAAAGGAAACATTTTTCAAACCTGTAGCAAAAGAGATTTTCATGAAAAGGGAAAATACAAACTCCACAGAACCCTGATGAGGACATAATGCTCAAGATGTTAAAATGCTCTTACAACTAAATCGCGGGAGCGCCACAGGAGGTCCTTTCTTCCAGAAGCCATCAGACTGTTTAACAAGACCTGGGTCTGGGACCTGTGCACCTCAGCACTATATACATATTGCACTGCTAGCACTACTGCATTTATTGCACTTTTTATATTGGTTTTAAACTGGTTTTAACTGATTTTACTGTACTTGGCTGGTCCGCAGAGATGCACTTGTTGTTGTTGTCTTTGTTAGTGTACTGTGTATGAGTCTGTGAGTGGCGCAAGCCCTAAAGTATCTATCTGTCTGTCTGTCTGTCTGTCTGTCTGTCTGTCTGTCTGTCTGTCTGTCTATCTATCTATCTATCTATCTATCGACAGGCTGTCACACTATTACAGAAACTTATAACTCCCAGGTGCTTCAAAAATTGAAGAAAGACACCTGGCGATAAGTGTTTCATTATGGAAGACCACAGATATTCCCACCTCCCATTTAAGACCATTTTGTTTTTATTGTAGTCTGTCTATCTATCATCTATCTATCTATCTATCTATCTATCTATCTATCTATCTATCTATCTATCTATCTATCTATCTATCTATCTATCTATCTATCTATCTATCTATCTACTCCAATAACTGTGACCAATATGTGAACCCAGCATCTTTTTTTTCTGGATTTTTTTATTCTTTTTTTGTTTATGGGGTGAGTAAGCCATACAATTGTTACCTATAATAAGTTCCTGCACATTAAAATTTATACTCACAAACAGTCTCTCTATTATTTACAAAACATATGGTTCCTGGGCTCATAAATCCTGATGAAAGCTACCCTGTGTTAGTGCAGTGTCTGTTTCAGGTTAAGGGGTAATTATATGACAGTATAGTTCAGCCCAACTAGTTTCTAGCCTGGAGGAAGCACAATCACTGCTGACTGTAGTTTCCTGTCCAATAGCTTGCAGCAGAGTTAAGGAGCAAGTATAGTGGGAGTAGAGAAGGGACACAGGACGGATACTGCTCATTTGTGAAAGTTTAGAGAAGTCCAGGACAGCAGAGTGCTAAGACCTTGCAAGCAGTAACGCAATAGAAGGTGGGGAAACCTGCAGTAGAGACAAAGAGCATTAAGCGAGTTGCCTGCAGAGACACACACAAACTTCCCAACATCTGGTGCGCTGGAGGACGGGGCGAGCCGGAGAGAGAGAAACTTTGGAGGCGGAGAGAAAACTGTTTTCGCTGGAGAAAAATGGTTTGAATTGGAAGTTTGAAGCACCTACATGAGTCGTAAGGAGGTTTCGTGGTCGTTTAAAGAAACGAGAGTGGAGAGAAAGAGGACGGGAAAGGTGTCGGAGGGCGAGAAGTCCACCTGGAGGGGCCGGAGAATGAATTAGCCAAAAGGTTTGACCGCACCGTGTCCCAGCCAAACAGAAGGTAAGAAGCTGTTCATGTGAGCTGTTGTTCTGTTTTTGATTAAATGAAGTTATTGTGGTTACACATTCAAAGAGTAAAAGGGTATCTACTCACTGGAGTTGAGTTCACTCTGAGCATGCAGGGACTCGTTATGGGAAAGCAGGGAGAAGACATGCAATGAAGGTAAACAAAATACGCCCGTTATTATTATCAAGCAGTAACATGACGTTTACTATCAATGAATACACGTGAATTTATGGGGAAATGTAGGACATTATTATTTTAAAACCCGGAGGAAAGTTCGCCTTAAAGCTAGAGGTTTGACACTGTCCATGAGTGCAGATGCGTTTTGTCTCTTCTAGAAACTTCTTAAAACTTTTTTTTTATTGTTTTACAAGTGTAAAATGAAGGCTATCGGAGTCATGAGAGGGTAAGAAAAAGGTTGAACTGAGTTAGAAGTGTTTTCACATAACTTAGTCATGGGATATCAAAAGTTTTTGGGGGCAGCGAGTGCGGAGCGAAATCGCGGGAGCGCGCAAACAGCTGTCCAGCTGGGCTGCTTTGGCAGGAAAGGCGCGCGCTGAACACATGTTGGCACGTGACACACACTGAACTTGCCGATCTTAATAAGGGGCAACAGGAGAGCGTGCGATGCTCAGTACACTCCAACACACAGGTGGATTTCTTAAAACAATAGTCACACAGGTGACCCTATCACTGGTTATTTACAAGTGTGGAGGTAAAATTAGTCTAGCAGAAAAATTAGATATCTAAGTTATTAGAAAACTCATAGTTATACCAAGACCTTAAAAAACAAGTGACAAGATTTTTGAAAAAAAAAAAAAAAATGGTAACACTTTATTTGACGGCTATCTCTATAACACTTTATAAATATATGTATAATGTGTTATAATCACGTTATAGCACTGTATAACTATTGTTATAAACACTCACAAATAATCACAATGCTTTATTGCAATAATCATAACACATTATAAAGCATTTTATCATGACTTACAAGGTCAGGTATTATAATGTGTTATAACTGTTAACAACTCACTGCCAATGCCCACAAAGATAATGCAATGCAACTGTTGTTAACAGTTATAACACATTATAATACCTGACCTTGTAAGTCATGAATATTGCTATAAAGCCTTATGATCATTTATGAGTGTTTATAACTATTATACAGTGCTTTATCACGATTAATGCATTTTATATATACAGTATATATATATATATATATATATATATAGTTTCTTTTCATAATGTTAATGTATCAGGAATGCTGTTACATAATATTTAATGTCACTGGAGTTTTTAAAATCTAGTTTCCTGTTATTAAAAATAATGGCTCTACACTTTTGTAACCATCTTTTTTCTTGTGATTTAGTGTTGAAATGATTCATCTTGATGTGTATAAATAGACAGATAAAGACTAGCATTACTGTCACTTGCTCAGGATAGGTTTAGTGAACTATTAATTAAAGTAGACTATGATTAGTTCTTTCCTGTTGTGTTTCCACTGTTTCATGAAAACAGTCTTCCTCTTCCTGGGGTTTTTGGAATCGCTGGAAGGGATTCGTGTTTGTTCAAGTTGATTAAGCGAGGGCTGTGGCCTTACTGATCTGATCAGCCCTAAAGACAATAAGAAATCAGTTATTTAACCTGTTCTGTAATCTCTGTAATAATATTTATGGATCAGTCTCCTCTGTCCCTGTGTCTCAGGCTCACCCCTTTACCCCTCCACCTCCTCCCACAAGAGCCAGGCCCACGCCCATGGATGAGGAGAGGAGTGCCCCTGCCATATCCCCAGAACCCCCTGATGATGGGGACTCCAGTTCGCCAGCTCCTCAACCAAATTCCCACACAAGCTTGACCAAAGAGAGTGCAAACGGCTGCCCCCATACCGAGCCCTTTTCAAGTAGAGGTAAGGAAGAAGAAAAACCCACGAAAAACAGTCACATATTCAAAAACACCCAAGTGTGGTACATCTGGTATTAAGAAGTGTTGATTAAGTACAAGACATTCTACTGTCAGTTATTTGATGGGTCTGAACATGTCTTTGGTGGATTAATTTGAAGAAGCCAGTGGATTAGTGCTGAGAAACAAGATCTGTCTTTGCTTTTACATTCATGTGAACCTCATGTGAGTCAGAGATTGGTCAGTTTTTGAGTGCATATAGCTGTATGCAGTGCATTTTCTTTACATTACAATCTTGAGGAAACTGTAGACTTACCTTTGTTAGAGTTTGCTTAGGTTGGTCTTTTCCAAAATATAAAAGTTTTGAGTCAGTGTAGTGCTTCAGCCTTGACCTTATATCCACTGTGAGATATTGGGCCAAGCACTCATGTCTCTCAAATCAGTTGCCTGGTGAAGTACAGTGATCTGTCTGTGAAGGGGACATTCCTCCCCGGATCTATGGGGTCAGGATTCACCCAGAACCGTGGAATACTTAAAGGCTGCAATGAGACTTCTGGGAATTTGGGAATGGACCTCTCCCTTTTTATGTGATTGGTCATGGTAAGTGTTGAGTGGCAGTGGGAAGGGTAAGAGGGGACACGGACCAACTCAGAATGATTTTGTGTCTGGGTGATTTATTCAGTTTCAGCCAACATATGGTTTTCTCAGGTTTGCAGTGCAGCAACAATTGTGCTCTCTGTGGTGAGATCAATCAGCAGGCCTAAAGGGGTAGGAGGGGCCGGTTTCCACAGTAACCAGCAACAAAAAAATTTTGTGGATGATTTTCTTCTTTTGGTTTGTGTTTTAACAGCAAGTCTAAACCAAACCTGTCGTGATTAATGTATCAGATGTTCTACAACACAGAATCCACCCATTCATATGACTGTACTCTGCAGAGTTGCAGAGAACAGTTATGAGTGTAAGACCAGCCTTAGATTTAATGATAATATCCCTGTGGAGAGTTGTGGAGTTATTAAACCATAGACTTGTGCCTGAACATGTTCTCATGGCTGTACTGACTGTACCTGTGCTCGCTCTTGAGGAAGCCAACACAAAGTATAACTGCGGCTTCTCCCACTAAAGTTAGACTGCCTGTCTGGCTGACTTGTCTTGTGTGTGTGTGTGTGTGTGTGTGTGTGTGTGTGTGTGTGTGTGTGTGTGTGTGTGTGTGTGTGTTTGCTGGCTGTCAGTACATAGTTGAGCCAGGGTTGGGAGGAGAAGATTGGTAGGGGCAACAAGGCCCTGCTTTCAGCACACTGCTCAACCCCAACCCATCCCCGTGCCTGCAGAATGCAGAGTTTGGTACAACCCAGCAGACTCATATACAGAGCAAATTTTTTCAAACAACGTTGTGATTGATTATCCTTTCACTATTTTTCTTTTTCCTGCTTAATGCTTGTCTCTATTAAGCCAGCTGATAGCTCATTCATTGAGATTCACTGAGAGACATACAAAAAGATTTGCTAATTGCCAAACTCCAGCTGATGCTGCCTTGATACTTTTACACTAATCCAAACAGTGCTATCTTACTACCAACGATGTGGGACTCGACACAATGCTACTCAAACATGGCTCTGCTCCACCTTGATAGCTCCTATCAAGGTGCTATCATGTTTATTACCACATTCATTGCTGGCTTAACAAAAGTCTATCTATCTATCTATCTATCTATCTATCTATCTATCTATCTATCTATCTATCTATCTATCTATCTATCTATCTATCTATCGATCGATAGATAGATAGATAGATTGATACACACACATTTGTTTATTCATTTTTTACTCTTTAACTAGATTTACTTCAAGGGATATTATGTTGTAAATTTATGTCGATCACCGAGTGCAGTGGAAAATTAATGATTGTCACTTCGTGGAAATGCAATCAGACCGAGACGCCAAGGCAGAAGAACTACCTAAGAAATCAGGCAAAGCTAAAAAGATGTTTGGTGGCTAGTACTGTTGCTGGGACCCTATATGTACTGTTGATGAAGTTAGGTGCTGTTCTGAGCATTATTTGTGGCTATAGAGTGGCTTTTTGGTTGAGGTTTGCATGTAGAGACATAGACTGCTGTGTATTGATATCGTGCAGAACCAAGTGGTCGGCAACATTCATCTCTCGAGGGGGTGTCTAACTCGGTGTTATGGTGTATTTGACGATAACTTAAATTTACACCGGAATATCCCTTTAATTTGACAGACAGTATGCCATAGTAATGATAAAATCCTCAAGTGATTTTTCAAGGCCTTGAATTTGTGCAGATTGTTAATCATAGTTATACACACACAGGCTTTTCAAGCAGTTAAGGTACCTATTCAAATTGATCACACGTCTTTTGCAAAAGCTGTCAATGGAAAAATATTTTCATGGCAGCTTGATTATAAAGCAGTGCCATATTTTGTCACTTTTATACACTGGCAGCAGCTCAAATTCCTCAAGTGATGCCTCTGCAACATAACATTTACACCAGGGGCCTTCCTTTCACACAGAAGTGTAAATTTTATTCAAATGCACTAAGACACACAAAAAAACAAAAACACTGACTCTGTAAGACGTACTGTTTGGTTAAGTTGTCACTGTTTCAAAGGGGCTTTGTGTTCATGTCTGTGTTTAGATTTTAGGCCGTCTTGTAACAATGTCTTGTCAGCAGTATCATGGACTCAAGCTTGTAACAGTGCACTATTCAGCCCTCCTGTTCCCCCACATTTGACTTGTGTATAGAGTTCTCTGCTGAAGGTGAATAAAGCACAGCTCTTTCATTACAAGGCCATTGAACCTTGGTGCATATGTTAACAGAAGCATGTCTCTCACTGTTGTGAGTGTTGCTCTCTCTCAGGCATGAAGATGCAATGAGCCTGTCTGTTTATACAGGAGCCTCTAACCACCACATGCTAGATTCCCTCATTTTCTTTCACCACTGGCATCTCTCTCACTCTATTTTCTCTCTTCCTCTTATTGCCCACTTCCCTGCTTTTGTCTGAGTTTATCTTTGTCTCTGTTGCTTTGTATTGGGATACAAGAGTTTGATTTTGTAATGAAAATGCAGTTTAAAAGAGAGCAGATGTCCAACTACTTTACAGCTTTGATTCTATCTTTATCAGTATCTTGGATTAAAAGTGAAAACACTCAGACAGAGCATGTTTGATTCAAAATAAATAGTCCACATCAGCTTATTATTGTGAGTCTATGAGTTTGTCCAAAAAGTTCAAACTTTGTTCATTGTTGTATCTCTTTAACCTGGTCTGTCCTCTTTAATGTCAGGATTCATTAGTTAAGGGAAAAATACCTTCATGCATTATGAAAGTAATTTGATGGGATGGTGAGACTCTTTAGATCAGCGGTTTAGTATTAGCTGACTTTATTATCACTTTAGTTAGCTTGCTGGTTGCATGTAGGAAATTCGGTATGCCAGACTGAAATCTGGCTGTGGATGAAAAAGTAGATTTAAACTCCTGGGGACACTGAAACATTTAAAAGTTGTCTTTTTGATAATGCTGAACTGGGACCCACATGATATTAGGCGGTAAGGAACCTTAATTTTTTATAAATCAGTCGAGCTAAAGTTGGCTCAAGAGGCTGAAAGCTCAAGCTATTGACGGTCACATGTCAAATCTTTTGATTCAGTTTGTTTCAATTTGTTATGATTGTCCAAATCATTCACTCAATGTAGATCTGTATTTGTCTCCTTATAATCTTTGCATTAGTTTGTCTCTGGTAGCTTGTGGTCATCTTGCTCCACTCATAAAATAATTCCTCCACATATGTATATTTTCTCTCTCTCTCTCTCTGTTTCTCTCTCTGATTCACCGTGCAGATCCAACTATTTGCCTACTTGTCCCCTTTTAGTCCCTGAGGTTTGTTGAGGCTTGTGTCTAATTTGGTTTCTCACAGAGATTGAAATAAACTAGGAGCAATTTGAGGCATTTTTACAGCATATTTGAACTTCGAAAATGAGCATGTTTTTTTTCTTCCCTCACCACCTCACAAACATTTGAGAAACTCTTGCTGCTGCTGCTCTGGTGGCCTGAACTCTTTTTTTCCCTCTCTACAGCTCCTGACTTGAGTAGTGTATCCAAATCCACATAACCCATGTTATATACTGTTGACAGATAGTGTCAGCATAGAGTGATGTTACAAACTAGCAAGCCTACAGTCTTATTTAAACATTTGAAGCCTGCAACTGTTAACTGTTTGCTGCAGTGATACAGATACTCATTCATACGTGGGATTTTTTCTTGTTTCAGTTGTATATCTGCAGTTATTGTGATTTCCTTATGAGTGCATAACCTGATAACAATTACACTGGATGGTTTCTGAGTGACAATATTAATGGATAAAAAACAAAATCTAACTTAAAGGACAGTGATAGTAATGCGTGAGCTAGCAGTTCATATCTATTACAAATCTAAGTGAGTTAGCTTAAACAATAACAATGAATATATTAAGCTTTATCCCAGTAAAATTTACTGCTTTAGGACTTGTCTTGCTTACATTATGTCTGTTGGATACACTGCTTGTGTAAATAAAGTGTACGTGTTCCAGAGGTTCTTGCTTTCACTTTTTCGCCACGTATAAATAGGTTTGAGCAGCAACGCAGCAAATGTAAGCACAACTGCAGTGACACATCATCAAAAGTATAGATATATGTCCCTACATGGTCCTATGTTATTGTGGATCTCTGCAAAAATAAACTTGGATAAATGATCAGCGAGTTGTTATACTGATACTATACAAGCAACATTAAACCTACTGTTTCAAAGTCTGTACGTATACCTTAGACCTAAGGGAAAATCCAATGACAAACCTTGGTAATCACACTACAGACTACTCCAAAACTAAATGAAATCTGTAATAAAATGAAATAAAACAAGTTCTGATAGTTGGCTGTTATCACACGAAGCACAGTAGCCATCAGTGACAGAAACGGGCAGTGTGACTCAGACACAAAACCAAAACGTACAAACCCAGTTCATATTACCAGATAGAGCTGTATGGTAAAATTCAAAGCAATTATTCATCTAGTAGCAAAGTCTCCATTTCAGACTCCTTGTGATAAATGCAGTAGTACAGCACCCAGTTAGCAAAGCAGCCGTGCAGTTTTTTCTTTTTTCTCAGGAACCAGAGGACTCTCAGAGACAAAGTAACACAATTAAATTCCCTTTAAGCCCGTTCAACAGCAGACAGTTTTTGTCTTTAATGAGCTTACACTGCTCCATTCTCTCAGCAGCCATAATCTCTAATTTTGGACATATTCCAGTTCTGCACTCTCACAGCCCCTTAGTGCAGAGTTTGTGTATGTGTGTATGTGTGTTTATCTTCTGTGGGTACTTGTTTCTCTTCTTTTTGGCCTAACTGCATCCAAACAAATCTTTTTTTCTCTCTCTTCTTTTTCTTTTCTTTTCTTCTTTTGTGTGAGTGCTTCGTGGTTTGCTGTGTGTATTTGTAGAGGGATACAGATAAAAACCATGTTATGCTTTAGTCACATGCTCTTTGATTTGTGTTATCCTCTGTCCTCCTGGTCTGCAGTTGTGTGTGGTTTCAATCAGTTCCAGTCATTACTGCTGGCCGGAGAGCTGCTAATGCGTCAGCTCCTCTGACTCCGCTCTGCTGAACATTATTCTGCTCGGTTGCCTTTCATCTCACCTCATTGTGTCATCTTTCTTATTCCTTCAACGACCCAATATCTTTATCTCTATGTTTAGAGATGAGTCAGCAGGCAACTAATTGTGTGTGTGTGTGTGTGTGTGTGTGTGTGTGCTTGAGTATTGCCCCTTGAACTGGCATGTAACTGTCAGTATAACTTACACTTTAAACCTGCTGATCGATGACAATAATAGAAGAATGTGACTTAGATCATATTGTTATTAATAGACTGCTATGATATGATATTTTAAACTCTTGTCATAACGCAAGAGAGCTCTGTTTCAGTTTGTCACATATACTTTATAATATTACTGTACTTCAGCATAGTCTGCAGATATTACACACACTGAACATGAACTACATATTACACTTAATTTTCTCGATTAACATCTAAAACATGAACCTATTCAATATGAAAGGTAGTTTGTTGTCGTGACTGCTAATTTGCCCAACCAAACTTAGTTTGCACAAATATTTGCATAATAAACCTCTTTATAGTACCCTTGTTTTGTTAAAGGTACTGTCAGTCAGTTAAAAATACTAAATCACAGAAAAGGCTGAGATTAACAACAATTAATCACAGTAAAAAAAAAAATAAAAAAAAAAATTCACATTACATTTCAAAATTTCAAAGTACTCAAATTATACCACTAGCAGCCTGTTGCAGCACAGCCCATATGATTGGTTTAGGGTTTAGGAGTGTCACCTGGGGTGGCCAACCAGATTTCAAGTGGGTTCCAGGCCACACTGTCTACTATACCCTGAACCTGCCATAAGGCAAAATTACCTGAGCCCATCCACATCATCCCGCACACCACTAAACTCATGCTTATTATGCAACATGGACGAAAACAGAAGACTAATCACACAGCTATGTTTGAACTTCACCCAATTTCAGCCAGCTTTTGCCACACAGCCTACCTTGGGAATGTCAGCGTGTTTAGTCTACCATTACCGTGAATGAATTAAAGAGGATGAATGTGTCACTTGGTGCAACAGGAGGTCCCTGTTTTCCCAGCCGAAGTCAGATCATCCAACAACAATGCATAAAGTAGGCCTACATATCTACATACTAGGTATGACTTGATTGGATTTTACGACTTGTCAGATTATGCTTCAGCAGGAGGCAGAGAGTCTGTGAGGAAATTATGCTGATATTTTCTCTGTTTTTCTTTGTGAAAATAAAAATAAGACTGCAGTGCTGTTCTTATCATGCAACTCTAGACACTAATCCAGCCTTATGATCTAACAAGGCTTAATATCCCATCATCACATGACCTGCTTGGTTGCTGTTTGTCACTCAATAAAGATTAGAGTCCACTTGTGTCCACAGTAAACAGTGTCATATCAAATGTTTAAAACCACTCACACTTTAGTTCGGTCATCTTTTTCCTATTTTGAGGCGTGCAGAACAAAACAGCTGATTAGTTTGCTTCAGGTGTGAGAACATGTGTGTGCAGTGTCCGAGAGTAGTGCCAAAACAAAAAAGCTTTGTGACAGCAAATTAAGACTCTGAAGATTATCTTAATTTAGCGACTAGTTCTGAGAAAAGGAGAAAAGAGTCTTAAATGGAGTATCTATGAGCCAAACTTCAAAGTAAAGCTTGTCTGATCCGTAGCAGTTCCTTCCTCTCTGGTTCTCTGGCCACTTTCTCAACAAAGGGGCCAAGCTGACTGGCATCCTCCTATTGACGAGTACCTCATACAATTACATTTATAAACAAAGAGCTGGAAGGGCTGGAGTTGGTAACGCTGAAGAGTTGAAATTGACAGCCTGAGTTGTGAGTATAAAACATTTTTATATCACATCTTTTAAGTTATAGAGTCAAAAATTTCTTTATCTGTGAATAAAGAACTATCTGAAAGTGTGACTTTCTCCTCAGTTATGAACATAGTCTGATAAGTTTCACCTGATTAACTCATCTGGTGTATTTTGGATGCCTGTTTGCTCCCAACTGTGTCTGGCGGGGTGTATGTACTGTGTGTCTTTGCCAAGGGGATGCACACAGGAGAGACCTCCCTGTGTATACACATTAAAAGTCTTTGCCTTTAAAGACGTGTTAGTGAAGCTGTAGAAACAGGGTTGAGGTATTTTAAAAGGCAGCAGGTAAACTCAGCTCAGCGTCTGTTCTCTGTGAAGCGACACTCCCCCCTCAAAGATCATACCCAGAGGAACAGCCGGCTGCGCTACCCTTCAGGTGATCCAGGATGTATCACTTCATTTGCCAACTCACATAGCCTGAACGTGTAATTGCATGTGTGTGCCTTTGTGTTGTGTTTATGCCAGACATTACCCCTATGTGATCCATATGTTTTTCCTTAAATAGTTTAATGTTTGTTTACAAGGAAACTTAGATTCCTCTGCGTGCCCCCCCTTCAGGGCTACTGACACGTCCACACTCACAAAATTACAAACACACATGAATTAACACACGCACGCACGCGCGCGCACACACACACACACACACACACACACACACACACACACACACACACACACACACACACACACACACACACACAGTGAAGCATGCACAAACAAATACAAATACATACTCATCCACACGTGTAAACACACAGCCAGATCTCCGCAGCGACTCTTGATTGCTCGGGTCTGATTTGAATTAGAGGCTCATCTTTGTCAGATCTCAGAAATGTCTCTGAGGTTGCGTGGTTTTGATGGTTTGATGCTGATGCCAACACACAATTGGTTGAAGGCCTGTTTGGATGGCACTCTGGTTTGGTGGGGATGTGTTTAGCTCCAACAATTGTGGTTTGAACATTTACAGAGAGAGAGCTTTGACAAAGTCACAGGACCTGCACAGTTTAACCCCTGGTGCCCCTGTGGCTGCAAGAGAGAAAACAAACTATTTTAGAGTTTATAACATGTTTTTGAATGATTATTGTGACCCTTCACTAAATAAGACTGCCCTCCTCCTTTCTTAAAATCTGCTTACTCTAGGCTTTTGTTTGGCTTTTGTTATGACATAACAGCCACTGAAAGCAGCGTCCAAAGAAAAAGACCATGTGAGGATACAAAGACGCCATCATAAGCACTTTTTCCTTTTAGATTATACAGCTGTTTTCAGTTTTTGTTTTTTTTTCATAAACTTACCTGCTGTCTGAGAGATAAATATCAATAGTTAGTATCAAACACCATCATCTACATTTTGATGAAGTACTTACCAAATACAGAAATCTATGGATGGATAAGAAACGGATTTTGGTCACAGGAGTGGTAACTAATTACCTGTATTTAGGGCTGGGCGATAAAACAATAATGATATATATCAAAAATTAATTTCCCTCAAAATCAATATAAAACATGGTCAATGTGCTTTTTGATAGTTGGTATTCTGCCATGTTTTGGTAGACTATACAAATAGCCAATGAAAAGGGCAGTTGCTTGGGGTCCGCCTCACTCTGAACCAATCATGTGCTGAATTAGAACCAAGTAGCAAACAACTGCGCAGTAGCAGGCTGCAGCTACACGCAACCATAGAACTTTAACACGTGAAGCCGACCCCTGGCAGAAATGCAGATGAAGGCTCAACAGATGATGACATTGGTGACAGCACTGGCACGAAAAACGTCGGTGGTGTGGAGGTATTTTGTTTTTTGAGGTTGTACATGAAGCAGAGTAATGTGCACTGCAAACCCAGAGTGAAGCAAGGAGCTCACGGCACCTGCAGCCAAAACAGCCGACTATTCAGTCCGCTTTCTCTAGCGAAACGCCTTACGACAAAATATCAAAGAGACACACAGATGCAGTAGCTTGTTGTATTGCAAAAGACATGCTACCAATAAGCACTGTTAAACTTCAATTTTTATATTGTGGTATTTATCAATATCGACTGATATGGAAAAAATATATTGTGATCAACTTTTTCCCATATCGCCCAGCCCTACCTGTATTGAAACTGATAATGAAGGGCAGACAGACAATTAAAAACATTTGTATGCAGCATGAAACTATAGCTAGAGTAATAAAAGTTAATGTTTTAAAGTCCTGCTACCCTGTGTGTTACCTAAAGTAATAAGAAGATGTTAAAAAAGGGGGTAAAAGAGGAATAAATGTCATGAGAAACCCACTCCCTACCTGAAACATACAGAGCCTGTAACACACATGCAGCTCGCCCTCCTGTCTTTTTATACCTGAAGCCAGCTGACTGAGACTAATGGATGCAATATGGGCTGTAGAAATGATTTCCATGTGCAGGAGAAAAATAGAGAGTATAGAGAGAACTGATTGGATCCTAACATTGACATATGTGTTTGAAGTGTGTGGTATTTGTGTACAGGTACGCGTGTAGTGTTTGCGCATGAATGTCTGATAGATCAGAAAAGCAGGAAGCACTTCCCGCCCCTTCAGGTCCTGTTTACGCCGCCTCCAACTTCACATGCACCAAAATTCCTTTTCACACATAAAACTCACACAGACACACACCAAATACACACACACACACACACACCACAGAAAATAATGAAAGTATGAACAAACACTGATCCCCCAATGCTTAAAAACACTAACCCCCTTCTTCAAGGTTAAACCGCCTTACATAACCAAGCCTTTCAGATCACCAACTTTGAAATTTAACTTGTTTTCACTGAAAATATCAACAAAGTTTCTGAGGGAGATACTGTTCCTTCAAGTGATATTTCAAGATCTTTCTGCTGCCTCACATTTTAGCTTTTGCATTAAACATTTCAACACAACAATCTGTTCAAGTAATTCATTTAAAAAAGAGAATTTCACAAGAGCTAAAATAGAGGAGAATAACCGTCTGACATTTCAAGAAACATATCACTCATACCTTGAAGCATCTTTACCTCGTGCTGATTTTGTCTGGGATGATTAAGCTGTTGCCCTGAATCACACAAGCCACAAAAGGGACTGACTTTTACTGCATTGGTTGTGCAATACATGGAAATATACTGATGAAAGTAGGTAATGTAAAGTAACAGAATAGAGATACACACATAGTGGCAGGAGTGCAGGAAAATGTTTATATGATGCACAGCAGAAAACAAAACTGGTAATGTTTGAGCAAAGTCAAGGATTTTGGTTGTTTTATCATACTGTTTATTTATGTTTCTCTGTATTATTCATCTTGAAGCCATGCCTGTGTTCATGTCCAGTAAAATGCCACTCCAAATACAGAGAAAAGGAACTAAGAATGACCTTAGAAACATTTTTACTCATTTAGCCTCAAAGTCCAGTTGATTCTATACTGAAATTTATCAGAAATTTATCAGTAACAGCTGTTTTTCCTCAACTTCTCAGTTTTTCTGTGTGAAGCCTTTTCCTCATTCACACTTCCATAAAATTTCTAGAAAAGTTGAAAGTTTTGCTCTCGAAAAGTTGTCATTAAAAGTGTTAATTAACACATGTCCTTCATGGTGTGAAGTTTTCCCTGTTGAAAGCTTGGTGTGTTGTGGATGAAGAGTGTCACGATAACAGAACATTTCTTTTATTTACAGCTATAGTACAAATCAAACAATATCAATACTTATTTGAATATCACAAAAACAAAAAAATAATTCATGGGCACTCAGAACTGGTTGAATTTGTTACTTGTGTTCTTATGTCAGTCTGTCTGCAAAGCACATAAGCTAAATAGCATATGCATCTCTTGGAGAGGCCAAGGCATTTCCAAAAACTCAGTATTTGTCAACATGTGAATGAAAAGATGGATCAACATTAAGGTTGTGATTGCAAAAGAGTAGAGACACACAGCAGGCAGTAGAGAGCACATCTTCAACAGCAAGCAGACAAAACCCAGCACCCTCCTTATGGTTTGTGCAGAGGTGTTTTTTAATTAGTGTGAGAGTAGCCTCCGTTAACTAATCAGGAAACAACCTCTTATTTGTCTATTTGCTGCTCTGCCTTCTCTCTCTACATTATGACTATATCTCTCTTATGCTTGTGTCAACTGTGGGTTTGAAACATTTCTCATTTAAAGTTCAATGAGTATTCGCTTCGTCAACCAAGCTTTCAATTCCCCTCGTTTTAGAATTAAGTACTTGGTACTTGGACATAAATTAACATAAGAACAATTTATACTGACAGGAGTCATGGTTGAAAAATTCTTTATTATTATCATTATTATTTATTTATTTATTATAATTATTATTTTTTTGTACATGAATTGTACTTTAAAGTCATAGTTCGACCTTCGTCCTGGCTGTGGTTCATGGTTTATGATCCATACAGCAGAGGGAGCTCTAAATCATTTAGCTCCACAATCAGTAAACTCTTACGGTGTCCAGGTCTCTGGCATATCTTCTGACTTTTTAACATTAGCTCATGTCACCTTTTCGTGGAAATATGGGAGGTGGCTGGCAGGAAAAAGTCTGGGTTCGGGTGGGGTTAAAAAAAAAAAGTCCATTTGCTTTCACTCCTGCAATGCTCTCTGAATATTTCTGAAATTTTGAGGAGTTAAGCGCATGTGTGAATACAGTTTACAGATACATGGTGCTCACAGCCTTCAAACAGCAACTCATATGATGTATGATCGATTCAACCAAAACCATCTGTCAAGGCTTGTTCTTGAACTTTGTCAGACATGACTTATTGGTTGTTAGCTGTTGTTACATTAAGTGAACATAGTTTATAGTCGTCATTAGATAGTAAACCACACTTATCAATCATCCTGATAGTTGTTTATGAGAATGTTGTTATCTTTTACCACATAGAAAACTTAAAAAGGCACTTAAAAGACTCAAATGTTTCGGCTTGTATTTGGACCCTTTCAGTTCCTGATTTTATTTTACAGTCTGTAAGCCTTCAGCTTCCTTTCTCGACTCTCCTCAACTCCCTACAGCTCAGATACTTTTGCATGCAGATTATTTATGCTGAGTGAAAAGTGGAAGTAAATCTATACAGTTATGTCAAATATGTGAAGATATTTATTTGCTAGAGTGAAGTGAGAATGTGAACTGCAGACTGAGAGTGTGAGAGGCAAGGGGATAGGAAAGAGAGGACAGATAGAGAAGTGAGCCAGAGAAGATAGAGTAAATAAACATAGCCGGGAAGTGTTGAGTCCACGCACAGGACGTGGTTTGGTTGTGTGTGTGTGCGTGTGTTTATCAAACCCAGCTGGCTCCCATTTGCCCAGGAATGAGTCTGCACCTCTCGGAGGCCCAAGCCTGCCCTGCTTTGAAGGCCTCTGTGTTGTGTGTGTGCGTGTGTGTGTGTGTGTGGATGTGGATAATAACAGCTTCGTTAGAGCACTGCATGATACCACTGAACACATAAAACAACCAGACATGCATTTACTCTATGTATATTATGTGTACATCCTCTTATGTGTTAATTTCTAACACACACGCACACACACAATCACCTACTCAAACACAGACATCCCTGCACACATGTAGACCCACACAGATTTCAGGTTTCACAAGCACGCACATAGACCCCTAAACAGTCCCAAGGGGTCAGATTTAACTGCTTCCAGATGCAAGATCAGGACAGAGCGCACAGCAACACATACAGACAAAATCTTCTGCTTTGTTGAAGTCAGCAGAACTCCTGTGTTTAAATTAATTAAGTGTGAGTGGATGGGAAATGACATGGGAGTAGACGAGTTTACTACAAGAGGGAAAACAGTGTGTTGCTGATAGTTTTAAATATCTCCATGGAAAGTAGATTGAGCTTATTTTGTGGAGGACTTCTTTAAAGATTTGTGGTCCTCAAAAATCTTTAATACTGTGTCTTTATTGTGTGTATATCTGTGTTTTTGTGTTGCAGATGTGGCCCACACTTACACTGAGCCCCTCATATTGAGGTTAAATGGCACTCAGGAAAGGTTGCCAGGCGATCATGGAGACAAGTGTAACGGTGTTCTCTCACACTCGGAGCTCACAACACCCAGTAAGAGTATCACATGTGAGTAACCAGCACCCCCACGCACAAACACACACATTCACACAAAGAGAGACACACTGAGGGAGACGGGTGAGAGTTTTATTTCCATTACCGATCACTTGATGAGTCACATTGTCCTGACCTTTAACAAATACATTCACACACCCTGAAGAAATAGGTCAACTGATCGTACACACATAGGGCCCTATGAAATCCATTTTCAATTTTTCCAGATTCTGTTTCATTTTTTTCTTAAATTCTGTTTTTCCATCTATGAATTCTGTGTTTTAAGATGTAACCACTGTTTTTCACCAGAGGAGTGTTGATTGAGGTGGTGGATGAATGAAATCTTAACAACTCAATAGGAAATATGATAAATTTAAAGGATATTAATCATTTTAACAAAGAAACAAAACAAATGAAGACGTTTTTTTCCATTCAACAGAACTTTTAATTCTTTGTAAGAGCTTTGTAAAAGCAAATTCAAACTGGGTCCTACAGAGGCTACCTTCGAGTAAAATCATCTACTCGCTTAATTCGCACAAATCGAGATGCATGAATAAATAGTATTTACTCACTTCATTCATGCACCAAATCTAAATAAAAGAAGTGGATAGCGGTTTATAGCTGTTTATGCTAATTTCAACAGTAATCCCTGCCAGTTCAACCAGTGGGATTAAGTGATAGACAAAAGTTTTTCACAATTTACCAGGTAATCCGACCTCCTCAGGTGAACTCCTTTTTTATTCCAGTATTGGTGATCAAAAGAAAATGTATCATATAATTCGGGGCACCCACAAACCCACACGCGACCCAAATATCCGCTCAAATTGAGACATTTTCAGCTCCCGCCCAATTTGCGTCATTCACCTAGCCAGAGTAGTACGAGCGTCTAAACACGTTCTTGCATTGACTTACCATGTAATTAATTCGCACAAATGATTTTACTCCCGCTTTGTGTGTGGCGACAGTAACACTCAGCAATATCTGATTCCCTCTTACAACCTTTGGCAAACTCACGTCTTGCTTCTGATGAGCTCTTGCTAGCTCACCGCATCTGTCTTTTACTGATTCGGTTTTTGTCATTTTATGGAGGCTATCCTTGCTGGTCTAGTCCATCCTATGCTGAAACTTACAGTTTAGTTGCTCTCGTGATTTGTAGAGGTTGTTTGGATATTACTCTAACCTCATCTTTAGTGTCCCATTTCATAATTTTTTAGGACTTTGACTTCTCTGATGGCTGTCCATGTAGGGTAGACTGGAGCCCCACCTGTGGTAAAAACAGGTCCCACACAGAGGAATATGGAGCAGACTCTCAACTTAGTTTTTAACTCTTCATTTAGCTTAGCTATTGTGAAAAATAGGTTGGAAGGGAAAACCCAGATTTCATTATAAATCGCCCCCAGATTTCAATATTGCGTGTTTTACAGTTAATTCTATTTTCATTCCTTTTGTGTTTAAATAAAACAACCATGCTCTCTCCTTTCACTCTCTCTGCCTCTCTATATGATTCCCCGTCTGTATGACTGTCTGTTGTGGAGACTGGGGTTGGTAGGGTGTCACCATGACCACTCATAGTAATTGTAACTGGCAATGCGGTATTTACTTCCATTTACCGGTCTAAATTAATTATTCAAGGTTCATTTTACAATTTGTTACTGATCCAAGCAAAGTCAATCCAAATGAAAAAGTCTCTGGTCTGATCAGGGAGCCGGTGACTCAGTGAATTCTCTTACTTGGTATTTCTATCTCCTGTCCGTGTAAAGTCCAAGTTTGTTTCTGCAGTCTAAATCCCATGGTCTAAACTTACTAAAAAAACAGCAGAACTTCTTATTGGAATAATTTGATCTTAACTTAATGGATAAAACAGCGTTAATTTGTTTGATGTTCTCTCAGTGCATCATTTCTTTTTCACCACAGCCCTCCCTAATCCTGAATGTCCACTCATATAAATCTCTGTTTTAAAATGTAGCTTCACAAGCTGTCAAATGTTCAAATGGTGCCCAAGTCATTTTTAGTATGCATCACATACACTTTTTTTCCCCCCTCACCTCTTTAGTGTCTGAATTTAATGTACAAAATCAATTAGAAAGAAATATATTTGCATAAAGTTGCATTTGCATCCCAACGAATTGCAAGTTTTGTTGGTGTGAATTATTGTTATTGTTATTATTATTATTATTATTATTATTATTATTATTATTATTATTATTATCATTTATTTATTTGTTTATAATTTTTTTTATTATTTTTTTTTTATTTTTTTTTGGGGGGGGTATGAATGACATCAGGTGCAAAGACTGTGGAGGTGGTGGTCTTCAGATTAGGTTTTTTTGGGGGTAAAAGTCAGACTAAGAATGAGTTTAAAATGAAATTGAGTCTAATTAGAGGTATTAGTGAAATAGGGAAAAATGTTGTGAGAAAAAACAAAGAAAGAGAGAATAAGTGAGGACGTCATTGCCGTGTTGTCATGCAGGTCAGCTGCTGAATCAAAAAAAAGGAAACCACAGCCTCCTTTTGGGAGCCGCGCCTTTTCTACGCCCTATTTCAGAAAAGTTTTAGTCAAACACAAAACAGGGTTACCAACTGAGCCCTGTGTGGTTCTCCTGTGACTTTTTGAACAAGCTGTTCAGAGCAGCCTGCAGTCTCACCCTGGGATTAATCCAACACATTTACCTCATTTACTGAAACTGTGCACAGGTTTAGTGTTGCCATCCAAGATTTTAACTTGATATTCATATGCCAACAATGAAAAAACTTCATACCAGCACTTTAAGTTTTAGTAGTCATCTGGGAGGAAATATTTGAATAAACTTCAGCTTAGCTGATGCAAAAGAGAAAGCAACTGTTGAGTTCAGGGACTGAATGAACGCAGTGTTGCCACAATATTCCTTGGTTTGAAGTTTTGAGTTCGGCTAAAGTCTTCTAAATCAGCCTTGAGGAACTGAAAGGTCTCCCAGTTCAGCTTCAGAGACCCACAGCAGAGCAGGAGCAATATTACACCGCTGAAAAAACATCACTTTCAGCTTCTGTGCCATCAAAAAAAAAAACACCTACTCAGTTTGCATTGTCAACAGCAGCACAACTTTGTGAATTTTACATTTAGTAATTTTCTCTAAAGCGTTTTAAGCTGTACTGCAATATGGAAAATGGGTTAATGATATCACTAAATGATATTACTCTCAGCCTGTTATATGATGACCCATAATCTGTGATACCATTCTGTGATTATATCATATTTTTATTAGGGAGGGGGGGTCGATACAGCATAGTATTGCAATATTTTGCCTGTCTGGTGATATATTGTATCATCTCATTTACCAAGTATCAATTTTCAAATTAATTGTTAATATGAGTCAAATCTATGATCATGGAAAAATAAAATCAACTGTTTGTCCAATGAGGTTGGCAGAGGTGACATCATACAGCAAGTTAGTACAACAAATACTGTTTATATAAGGTTTGCAAGATGTGCCACATAAAAATAAAATACAGCGTAAATAAGGCAAACATAAAAATGCTAAATTATCGCAATACTCACTGTATAGCAAAATGAAAAAAAATCACAATAATATCATATCACAGCCCAAGTATTGTGATAATATCATATTGTAGAGCATTGTTGCGATTCCCACCCCTAATTTATATCTTAAATGTGTATCTTTCTATCTATTTATCTATATCTTAATCAACAACAAAAACAGATTAATTGATGGATTTTCCAGTTTTGGAAATCTCAACTTAGAGGAAGTTCATTGTTATTTTGTAAGAATTTAACATGTCCATCACAAAGAGCAGACTGCTGCTTGAAACACTGAATATTTTACCTATGTTTGTTTTTATACAAATTTAATTTTTTAAAACATTTTTAAATACTTTTACTTGACCCTAATTTTCACTTTGTATTGCAACCTTTAGAACAGTTTTGTTGGGAGGTTCTGCACAGTAACATTCAATGGAACTCTAGTTTGCCAAAGTACTTTCACCTTTTTATCGATTCATCTATCAAAGCTGAAACATGAAAACGTTCCCTTATTTTGGCAGGAGTTCCCAAGGAAGATCGATTTCAGTGGGAGACATGAACTTTTATTTACTTTCTGCTTTCCAAGTTCCATCTACCTCCCAAACCCTCCAGCTGCTCAGTCATTTCTCTCCACTTCAGTTTGCTGTTTGTGAATGTCACAATATCTGAAAGTTGTCCTTTCTTAGTCATATCACCACCCGTTCCCTCCCCCATATTCAGAGTCCAATGTTATGTCTCAGACTGAAAGTCACTTTAAACCACCTGTATCTCAGCCAAAGGTTGCGCAAGTATGCTCAGTCATTACTCTGATGCATTCACTGTTCCCGCTTTCAATCCAGTCAAGCAAAAGGAGAATTGAACCTTCTTGTGAAACCCATCTGCTCTGTCAATTAACCGAGGTGAAAGAGCTTCACAAAACTCGGTTTTCTTGATGCTTTGAGCTCTGTGAAAAAAAATTAAAGTGCCCTGCAGTGTGTAGGTTTGGCCTCTGTGTTGCTCAAAAATAAAGAGCAACCGTTTGTAAAATGAGGGATAAAAAGATAAATCAGAAGTGTGTGTGGGGAGCTGATATTTGAGCATGTGTCCGAAAACTGGGAGCATTTTTCCCGGAATCCAAGGCCAGCCGTGGGTGACATGCACTAAATGCACAACCTGCCCTGTGGTAATAGCTAGTTTTCGCTAACTGAATAACCAGCAGTTCAGTCAGGAAGTGGATAAGTGGGTGAATGAGGGGTGTTTTGAGCTGAGTAGGTGTGTGAGAATGTCGGCTGTCTCTGCTGTGTTTGTGCCTCTACCTGTCCTGTCTGCAGTGTGTGCTATTTCAGGTTTTCTCACTGCCTCCCTCACTCCTGGATTTATTTTACATCCCAATAAAAACCTATGAAACCCACCAGCTCCATATGCTGTGCAGGGAGAGTTATGCAACTCCAGTAGGCTTGGACAAAATGTACCGCCATGCACACCAGTGCGTACTGGCTTTCCTTCATGAACCTCCTCCCTTCATCCATAGCTTCTTTCTTCTTTAACTTACACAATCACGCATGTTCATGGGACTTAAACCACCAACTTCCTTTCTCAGGTGAACCAAACAGCTTATGCCTGCCTGTCCGCATAATGACATATTTGCCTCTGCCATGGTTTGTGTGTCCTTTGTGAGCCCCATAAGCTACTATCATCCTCACACTGCACTTTAAACGCAGACTCTGTCATCTGCAGCCAATCAATCAATCAGCATGAGTTTCTCCGGCTTCATAATGAGTGTGAAGAAAAAATAGCTTTGACTCAGGGCCTGTGGTGAGGTCATGGCTGCGTGACATCTGCGATGGTGTGTTTGTGAGCGAGAGGGTGAGAAAACAGAAGCCAAAACAGATCACTCCTCAGTGCCGTGTGCTCAGTCTCGCAGTGATGACATCAGAGCTGTAGTATGCGTCTGGCCCCTGGCCTATGACAAGCTGTCTCAGAACAATGTGCAGAGAGCTTTCGACATATGTGAGAGTGTGTCAAACCTGACTGAACACACACACGCACAAACACACACACACTGCTGGTGATGTCATGGACACACTGTGGTTTCTGACGTCACACTCAGGGCAGGATACACATGTTTGCAGATATTTAACCGCTCTCGCTAATCAGTAATAAAGAGGAAACAATGACGTGTTTACAGCTGACAAAATTACGGCAGCATTTATCACACTTCTGCTTTATTTGTGTCGATGTGAAATTTTTCATAGAAACGTCAGAGAAAAGACTTTTAAAGAACAAGGCTGTGCAAATGCTCCTAATGTGAAAACTGAGTGTTTTCATCATCCGCATGGAGCTTCCAGTATTTTGTTGTGGCTGTTTTCCATCTTTGCTCCTCAGGTAAATCTCTCCTACTCTTTCTTGTTTCTCTGACAGTCATCCTTCAAATCTACTCCTCCTTTTTAGTCATATTTACATTTATTGTGAGTCAGCTAAACAGGGAACAAAGCTTGTGTTTGGAAAGTCTCTGTGCGCGGGCAGTGACGTCACAGCGGTCACTCTTGCAGGAAATGTCTCAGATAAGTTATAAGTTGCGCCGTCTATCATGTTTTCGCAAGCCTCCTGTTTTTTCCTCTTTCCTTTAAAGTTTCGAGTTACATCTCAAATATTTGCCCACTATTTCTAATCATTTGCCTGATAAACTGAAGGTTTAGCTGAAATGAGGCAGTTACTGAGAAAGCCACAAAAAATACTGTCATGTTTTAGCATAAACACAAAAAGGAAACATGCTTATCAATTTACAAATACAAAAGACACGAGGCCATTCCCATGTGAGGCTCAATATCGTCTAGTAAATAAAAGCTCCTCCAGAAACATGTGCAGGCAAGAAGATATCAGTTTACTTTTAACCAGTCAAATGTTCAGGTGCTGAGGTAGTTGAACCACATTTGTTTTGTGCAAATACTTAAGAGGTAAATAAAAGTAGTAGAAATTATAAAAATGCATTCTGACGATTCTGATTCTTGTGGTTCACTGCATGTTTTTCTTGGTATTCAGTAGTTACCTTTAAAAATAGGAACACTGCCTGTCTAAAATGTTTTAGAGGTTAACATATTTTATTCTTTTCTGTTTGAAATCTAAACAATTAATGGTGTTTTCAAAATTTCCTGAAATGCCTAACTGAGATTTTGCTACACCACTCTGTTGGGAGCGCAGATCTACATTGTGCCCCGAGGGACTGCAACAAGCTCCAACAAACTAAAACATATGAGCGAGTGAAATATGTCCTGTTAACACAACCAACAACACTGTCAAATCATTCCTGACTGTAAAAGCTTTGTTTTGACTTTTGTCTGGAGCATTGGGTTCAGGTTTTATGCAACCAAGTGAGGAAATAATATTAATCCAATAATAAACGGACCGATGAGAAGCCTTTGAGTGCCCTGGCATTGTTTGTAGTCGCAGAAAAGGTGTGAGACAGTCAACCAGAAGTGACAGCCTGCCGTGCACGACAAAACAATGAGTAGTGCGCCTATTGAAAGCGGACAAAAAAACTCGTCAGAAATCAACCTAAATTAGTGCAAAACTTCAGCCAGGGTCGAGTCACTTTGCTTTTCTTCTACATGTCTCATTTTATAGCAGTGGTTTTGCACGTCTGACTGGATGAAGCTGATCAAACTTGATTAACAGCTTCCCCTTTTATGAGTTTAACACTCAGGTTTTTATCCAGCAGCATAAAAACAACACAACTACACAATTAAGCCTTAAGAGAGAGCTAGTGGGTGTGCTTGAAGGGAGGTTTGACAGAGTTTCGAAATATTAACACTTAACACAGAAGTTAGGGTGACTCTTCAGACACGCCTTCATCGTCCCTTCTTCTAAAAATTCTGGCATCCGTCTGTAGTGTCAAAATAAGTTTAGGAGTAAGCACTCAAAGTTTGTAGTTTTAGCTTAATTTTTGTTTCCTCAGTCTTTGGTAGGAAACATAGATTAAAAAGCAAACAGAGCATTTGTTTATCTTTTCTTCATTGTTAATTGCTTGTTAGGCTGAGTTAAGGGATTAAATTTCCTTCAAAAAAATCTGTTTTCAGCCTTTTTATGACCTAAATCTCCTGTTCGCCACTTTCAACACTTTGACCTACATAGACAGACAAACTGCAGCGGAGGAGACGGCAGGATAAAGCAGCTGGAACAGAGACAGACAGACTTCATCATCGTTCTGGTGACTCATTTGAGCGGAGGATAAGTAGAGAGCGAGCGAGCGATGAACAGCCATGCTCTGGTCTGTGAGGGAGGTGTGTAAGTACAGGGTGCCTGAGAGACGCCAGGAGAGGAGTAAAGGGGAGGGTGTGTGTGTGAATGGAGGGTGTGCTGTGTGTTAAACTGATGGTGACTCATGTGCGCTCGCTCCTTTTGGCCATCCACATCAGCAGAGATATACATCTAAATAAACATGTTACCAGAGGTACCAGCATCCCCAGCGGGCCAACACCGCTGTGCAAGAGCTACAAACACACTGTGCGGTTGCCCAATCACATCATGATAATCCCACAGTCTCTTGGCTCTTTATTTGCTGTTATTTTTAACCAGCTCCCACTGCTGAATCATTGTGTTTATGAGTCACACCCATGCATCCTCCTGGTCTAAAATATCCACAAGCAGCAACACGTTTCTTCTTCTGCTTTGTTCACTTCATTTCTTTCAAATTCTCTGTCCTGATCCCAGACAAAGAAACCTTGTGTATTTTAATTTTTTTTTTCCAGTGTGCGAGTGCACGAGTGTGTGTCCGCACGTGCCCTTGAATGCATATATTTGTGCGAGTGAGTAGGCCTAACCTCAAGCTCTGTTTGGAGACAGTTTGGACTCCACATCTCTCTCTCTCTTTCTGTCTGTCTGCCTGCCAGATCCGCCTATGTACTGTTTTCACACTGCACTCTCTAACACACACACACACACCACAAAATCACAAGACGTATGAATTCCTCAACAAGACACAATATAGACCAAGAGTGAAGTCTGAAAAAACTGTGCGTAGCCCTCCCCTCCTCTCCGTCTGATCCCCTTCTTCTCTTACTGACCTACATCCTGGCCAGCTCGGTGTTAAAAAAAGAAGTTGCGCTGAAAAGGAACAAAAGAAAATGAGACAGAAACCGAGTTCAGAGACAGGAAGGACACAAAGTGAAGGAGAAAAGGAGGAAGAGCGACAGACATTACATATGAAAGCTGCATGTAGTGACTTTTGACATACTTTAGAGGAGAAACTAAGGCTCCTTCTTATTTGCCCCTTGCACATGCACGCGCACACACACACACACACACACACACACACACACACTGGCCCCACAGCTTGCCAAACATCTGGAGCAAAGCTAGAAAACGCTGAATGAAAGAATCTTTAATAACTCTGGATTGGTTGTGTGACCACGGCCATTAGCCAATCAAAACAGGTCCTGGACGGGTTATCTGTCTCCCAGCGGTTATCGGACAGACGCTTTTATGGCAAGTCATGTTTCATAGCGAGAGCTGGGGACCACACTCTGTTTGCCTCTGTGTGTGTGTGTGTGAGAGGCTTGCTTTGATTTTCTGTGGGGCTGCTTTACCCTGTTAAGTCTCACCACACCTCTCCACACCATATGCTTTCAGGTCAAGAAAATATTTAGGGCCTCAATAGGATGGTATTAAATACTACCATAATATATAAAAACCAGGCTTCCATTTTATTCTTCTTTTCAGGGTGTGTGTTTGGTTTGGCAGCCTAGGTGAGCTTTTCTGTCTCCTCCCCTCTCGCTGAGAAGTTAATACTTGGAGGTAAAATATCCTGAGCCAAGATTAACAAATGTGCATTTGCTCAAGTGTTTGTGTTTGTAGATACTTCATCAATTTGAAACTATATTCTACTGTAATCTTGAGTTGGGGGATGGGTTTTTGCAGACAAGCCCTCATGGTTTCATCTCACACACTCTCTTCATCTATCATGTCTCTTTTTCCTGCTCTCTCTTTGTAGTTGTGTAAGAGTCTAGACAAGTAGGATCAGGGGTCAGTTCAGTAAATGCATTGAGCTTCCCATGAGCTTTTGCCTTGAGGGTGGGCTTTGTAATTGGACTCCGTTTCCCAGAGACCCTCTCCGTGAGGCTACAGCAGCAAGTCCACACACTGTGAGGGGCCTCAGTTGAACAGCATTGTTCACAAGCCAGCTCATACACAAAGAGGCATCATAAAGTCAATCTTTACCAAGGATGCACTGATCCGATATTTGGATCGGATATTGGCTCCAATATTGATAAACTAACTGGATACAATGTCTGATGAATGACGCCGATCCAGCCTTTTTTTCCTTCTAAATAATGTCGTACACATCAACACAGCCATTCTGTTCACTCTGTATTCCACACAAGATCTGCAAAGTTCAGTCACCGTCAGCAATTCCTAACACTGGCTGATCATTTAAAGGTGCAGTCTGTAACATTTGGTGGAAGAAGATATTTAGTTGAGATGAAGTGTGATATATATACTTGCCGCTAATACACTACATAATTGCACAATGCACTGCCAACATGTTTGCGCATTATTCGAGAGCCCGCGAGCACGAGTCGTCAGTGCAGCGCACTTTTGGGGATTTCGAAATATGGTCACCCTAATATGATGTAAGAAGACACTATGAAACAAAAACCCAGAGACAGGTAACATCTGGACATGAAAAAAGGCTGCTACAGGACATTTTGAATTTTCTTACAAGGAATTATTTTTTTGGATGTTGTTGACCTGTAGAAAAATGTTGACAGTTAAAACTTAAAACTAAAATAAGACAGAGCTTTAGAATATAAATGCAACTGTTTTTTTATTATTATTTTTTTTATTTAAAGTTTAATGTTGTTGTTTTTTAGGTACAAACTGTCTTATAAGTTTTGTCAGTTCCAGGTTCAAGTGTCGACTACTGTGCACCACAGAGTGGCAAACTTAGCTTTAGTGCATGCCTTGTTTTTGCATTTTCTTTTTTGCTGCTATAGACACTTCATTTTTCTTTGAATTATGTTTTTGCCCGTTTTTGGCCTGTGGGAAAATATTTTTATTAGAAATAACTATGGAACGCTCCCAATAAAAAGTGAATACACCTGATTTAAAAAAAATATATATGATTAATGTTGTTATATAGTTTGGAATCTTTGTTAATTTAAGATTCAGTTCATGCAACAAGGTCATTTACAAGTTCTCAATGAACATTGAACCAGACCGGCCCCCGACTTGGACCAATTTTTGAATTTTGGCCCACTGTGTATTTGAGTTTGACACCCCTGGTGCAGAGTGACCCATGCAGCTGTAGCACACTGTAGTTGTTGTGATTTGACATCACAGAGCCCCCTCATCTTGTTCGCTTTGATGAGAGTTGAATACACAAGAAAGCAATTGTAAAATATATTTTGCCCCATTTATAATCCGCAACCGGACAAACTGTAAAAAGTTTTTCACTGAGAATTTTATTCTGTCGTATGCAATGTACCAGCATCAGTGAAAGCTTTCTGCCATGTCTCTCTCTCTGGCTGCTTTTTAGCAGGTGTTTGTTGGTTTGTGGTTTTGTAAATTTCATAGTGGGAAACATTTTCTATGTGTGACTGCATGCCTCTGTTTAAGATATTGAAGTGAATTGGTCATGCAGCAGCCTTTGAGCCAGCCCTGCAGTGGACTTACATCGTAGTTGTGCGTGTCTCTTTGGGATTTGTGACCTGCTTGAAGGAAGCGGCTGGAAAATAAAAGAAAAATTTGATTATTTTTTTATGTTTAAAATCTGATCAAAGCTGTGCCAATCCAAATTAATCTATAAAATGGATTTATTCCCCAGCCCTAGGCTCAAGTGCTCTAATACAAGAACTAGCCTGTTTCTAATAATAGGCATGGGGTCATGGCAATCTAAGCTCAGTCGAAGAACAGCTGCTCTACTGTATCATGTGCGATTCAAACTAGCAAATACTACCCTCACTGTTTTTGAGGTTTTTTGGTTTCTTGTATTTTTTCAAACTGTGACAAGGCCTCTGATCACATCTGAATCGTTCAGATTTATGTGTTTTTTATTAATCAAAAATGTCCACTATTGTTTTTCTTGTGCCTCACCGTTAACAAATGCACTTTTCTCTCTCACCCACCAGCTCAACCTGCAGCCAGATCCACGCTCACCCACCACACCCAGCCGTGTCGGACACAGCCCGGCAGCCATATGCGCAACGGAGCCAAGCACCATGGACATTCACACTCCCCTCACACGCACTGTCCAAATCACACACACACACCTCACGCCCTCCAGTCAAATGGCATCAGGAACGGGGGTCCTCATGAGCATCCTAAGCTGGGCTCCCTTCCCAGAGGCGGATCATCCACCTCCTCGTCCTCATCAGCCGGACCCAAACATAACAAGAAATTGCAATCCAATCCATCCATCACTTCCCAGAGCAGCAAGAGGAGCAAGAGCAGCTCAAAGAGTAACAGCTCGCAGATCCCCACTGAGGCACAGGACGGTGAGATACAGACGGGCACTCAGATGGCATGAGATTCATGAGACAGAGAGTCCACAGGATTCAATGTTATGTTCAGGGTTGTTTGTACTCCTTTGATGAAAACTCTTCTTTCTCTGACAATGATGGTTTATCGCATACAGCAAAATAATCAACAAAAAGTGTGCTTTTCTGTACCCACTCATACTGTACGACATCAATTTAATTAATACATCCATAAAAACTGCAAGGATATTAATCAAACATCAATGAGAGAACCTTGCCATTCCTTAAATTACTTCTGATGAGAAGAAATGTTGGTTTGTTCCACCACCTCTTGTTGTGGCTTGAGTGCTTGTGTCAACTTTTATGTTGTTAAAATGAAGGCCACATCTAGCACACTTGAAACCTAATGACAATCTGCAACGTGGTGTGGTATTCATAATTTCCTGCTCAAGGTAACTCCGACCACGTTTTCCCTTTCACTTACATTTTAGAGTACAAACTGTCATGTTTTCTACTTGATCAATGCTCACACTTACAGCTTGAAAAGAGTGGTTAGGCAGAGAAGGTGGGATAACAAGCTTTTGTACCAAAGGTGATTTTCTAAGAGCAGAGAATTATTTTACAGACACTTGTTTCTTGTTAACCTCCATTTCTGGTCTATCACAGTTACTGCACAGTCCAACCGTTTTTTGCAAAACTCAGTTGCATTTTTTTTAATGATAGTTAAAATTTTATTTATGTGTAAATGTTTCCTAAATCAATCAGATCGAAAACAAAAAGAAAGGCAACATGTAAAAGTGTTTGTGAACAGTGAATGTAAAGATACAAACTCACTTGCCGTGTTTTTCCTCACAGACTGCTGTGTTCACTGTATTCTGGCCTGCCTCTTCTGTGAGTTCCTGACTCTGTGCAACATCGTGCTGGACTGCGCCACCTGTGGCTCCTGCGCCGGGGATGACTCGTGTTTCTGCTGCTGCTGTGCGTCAGAGGAGTGTGGCGACTGTGACCTGCCCTGTGACATGGACTGTGGCATCATTGATGCCTGTTGTGAGTCTGCAGACTGCCTGGAGATCTGCATGGAGTGCTGCAGCCTTTGTTTCTCCTCCTGAGGCCCTTCTCTGCCACCCCATGGGGCAAATACACACTCCCATAAGCCAAGGAACTACTTCGACCAGAGCTGAAAGGCTCTACACCCAGTCTTTGTTGCCTGGACTCTGTGGTTTACGCTTCATTGGCTGGCCTAGTTGGCTCCACAACATGTCTGATGTTTCTTACAGGGTTCGCCAAGCAAGAGATGAGCTAACGCTGAGAGCAGTCACTGCTGCATTCTCCCCTCTTTATTGATCAAACGACGGGACAGTAGCTTCCCCTGCTTCCTATTTGCCGTGGGTCTATTGCGACACAGCTGGGTGTGCAGAGTGAGTTCCGGCTGTGGTCCACAAGAGTCTGCCAGGCAATGCAGACCCCAGCCTCTGGACCCTCACAGAACGAGCTATTATTACAATGGAGCCCCTTGTGCCTTCTGAAAGACTGGAGTTCTCCAAGCATGAAAAATGACCTCCAAAGGCAAATGAGAAAATGGCTCCATTTAACCGGATTTTAGTGTTTCTGTAGATAAGAGCAGCAGCATAATGGGAAAATGGATGCTCAGATCTCAGTAGAAATGTAGTCTGTCCTCCTGTCCTTGGCAAGGTTAAAGTCCTCTAGTTTGATTGCATATAGTGGCCTGAGTTATACACACATACACACACACACACACACACACAAAGTAGAGGATGTTCAATCCACTGCTGTCTTTGTTCTTCATTCTATGTACAAGAGAGAAAACCATTTACGGTGGCTTGTGGCAATATTACAGAAAAGTTTCTTTTATTCAAATGCATCTCACTAATGGACTAACTCACACAAGAACCGCGTGAGCGTCATGCATCCGCCTGAAGATGGGTCCAATTAAAAAAGTACTGTAAGTGATGGACATCACAGGGCGAGTAGTTGCTAACATCCATTATGGACACTTTCTTGACTATAACATGTGAAGGGAGAGAGTTTTTAAGTCCCTCCTCATTAAATGTTTTACATCCCATCTACTTCCTGTTTATTTGAGGTGCTTCGGCTGTTTCGAGTGATTCCTTCTCAGCTGTATGCTCAGAACTGGAAAAAGACTGGTAGAGGATTGGAAGGCATCATCTCTTTTTGCATACATTTCAATCTCCTTTTGTCATTCTTGCTATGTGAACAAATGGCCTTGGCTTAGCTTTATGGCCTGAATTTTCAAGTTCGTTCCTTGCCTTTAACAGAGTCTCTACTAATCCTTGTTTTGTAGATTTTAGTTAAGATATTTGCATTTCTCCTCCAATGTGAAAATCACATTTCTGTGTTATCGGGTTTTGCCGGGCTCTCTGTAAAGCAGACATTGCTCTATATCTAATTTAATTCCTTGAGTGCAAACCTCACAATGTTATGCTAAGTTGGATCCATGTGCTTGTCGTAGTATGAATGGTACACTTTTGATAACGGCACAGCTTCTCATTCACTCAGATTCTTAGCCTCTCTCTTACCCAATACCTCTTCAGATGTCTCCTAGTGACTTGATACAAATTCCTCTCCTCTCTGGTCTAAAACTGTTTGTGCAATTCTGTCTTTTTGTATTACCAAAGAGTCTTCTTCTTATTGGACCTAAGTTTTTGGACTTAAAATTGTACATTGAAGGGTTTTTTGATGCTAATATGGCTGTTGTTTTTCAACCCCTATTTTAAGGGCTGTATTGTAATACTGTTTAGAGAGAATACACACTATGGCAGTAGCTCAATCTGATCCAACGAAGCAGAAAATACAAAAAAGCCAACTCATGCAGCTTCAGGACATATCAAAGCTATTTGTCTGTTCATGTCAGGTGTGTTGTCAGAAATTGAAAACCAGACTGGGATAAAATCCTGGAGAACAGTGAGGACATAACAATAGATTATTTACATGAGATTGTTATGTCATTTGTTAAAATTTTTAAAAAGTTACTAGCGTTTATTAGTACAGATCCAGGTGTTTCATCTCGGTACATGCTCAATGCTATCAGACAAAAAGTTTGTGCACTTCAGTAAATACTGTATGTCTGTGAAAGCAGGGTTGCATCCAGAGGGGTGAGCAGGGGTGGCTTATGCCCCCCCTAAAAACGTGATTGACCACCAGGCACCATCTCAAAATCCTTAAGTTTGAATTAAATGCTAAGATAAGCTATTTGCCTCGTTGGAGGCAGAAATCATGCAAAAAAAAAACAACCATTTAATTGGGCTGCTATGAATAACTTTGCATTTAAATTTGGAATATTTCATTCTGCCAGTACTTTAAATTCTAATGTTGGACAAACATCTCCTTCTTTGAAGCTTTATGATTTATGTTGACAATCTGATACTTTTAAAGGTTAAAAAATTGCACACTGAAAAGATAGTTGAATTACAGTGGTTTAGGTCGATATGTTTCTCGTAGACCAAAAGAGCATTTAAATGCTTCTTCTTTTTTTTTTTAGAGTGCGCAAACACGTAGCCAAAAAGTCTGGACCACGCCCTGTTTCAAAACAGACATAAAATTTTAAAAATACACAAGAATTTTTCCATACAACTGCTTGTTCATGAAGAGAATAGATCTACCATAACAAATCTATGACAAACTGATTGGTTAAACAAGAATTGTATTTAATAAACAAGTTTATGGTCAGCTGTGAGGGTCAACAAAGCTATTGTTAGCATGCGTTAACGTAATCTTTGGTTGACATCCACCCGGCATGTTAGCTGTCAGTTTGAATTGACCAGGCATACTGCAAAAACAAGTTGCAATACGAGCACAGGATTATCATATGATATTTACTGGCTCATTTGTCCAATGAAACAATAGGTTAGCTGTTTTTCAACAAAACCTGATGACATGTTATTTGCTGTCATTTCTAACTGTGCAGAGCTAAAACCTCCCTCAGCCTCTCCAGATCAGGTTTTAGGATTCTTATTGCTCTGCCGCAGCTCGGCACTTGGCATGAACAGTCAGAAAGTCCTTCAAAACCAGGATAAGTCCAGTTTTAATAAAAGTGAAGCTCATGGTCAGACAGGCTTACCTGTGAGCTCAAACCTCTCTCTCTTTCTCTCTCTCTGTTGGACTGATTTATTTTGCTCAAATTCCTTTCTTTAGCATGGATGTAACTGGAGAAATTAAGTCAACAAAACTTAATCATGTGACAGACAGCAAGGCTCTGCTGCTCTCCGCTTATATGCAGCAGAATATATAAACATGTCCTGGGAGGTTATGAAGAGGAGCTTCTCCTGGATTTAGAGGAGGTAGAAAACTCTTGTGAGACTGCAAAGTGTGATCACAATGAGCAGGAGAGTCCTCCAGGAGTTTTTTATACAACAGAAATTATGTGAGAAGACAATTTAGTATATCAAAAAATAGAGATCCAAATTCAGTATTTGTATTTGCCTAGATAATGGGCTGATGACCTGCTCACTGTTTTGTTGTTATATATATTTTTTTCAGAATTAGCCAAAGTTGACACAGCGGATACATTTCTCCAGCTTACTCCATTCTATTAAGTCTAGCTTATGTTGTTTTAAAATCACCTATGATCTGTTTTACATGATCTGCTGTACGAGGCTTGTCAACCAATGATGCCTGTAATACCGCACCGCTAAATTCGAGGCAATCCTGCTGTGAGCGCAACCCTAAAAGTGCAAGATTTACAATAGTGGCTAAACCAAGAAAATAAATATAGGACAATAAATGTAGGTGACTTTTTACAAACTTGTTTACACCTTTAACTGACCTGAATCACCTTAAACTGGAAAGTAGAGGAAGCGATCTGATGTGCAGTGAGGTTAAACAATGACATGGTGCAAACGTCAGAGCTCCAGATATCTGAAAACCAACAAGAGTGACATCATGTTTTAAATCACCTCATGTGTTGTCATGAAGTTTGCAGTACAGCTCTGTGGTGTCTGAAATGAAGTGTCCCAATGGCCAACATAGCGTGGATCCCAAACATAGCAAAAAAACAGAATTCTACTTCATGATGATTGGCTGGTTGTCCAAAGCAAAAACCATCTTCATAACCTTTTCTGTCTTTTCAAGGATATCTATCCCTCCTGTAAAGTCAACAGTTTGTTACTTTCATTGGATGCTTTGCAGTGTTCTGTTGCAGGTTTAGTTTTAGATGACGTATCAAATCGATTGTATTAAATGCAGCTCTACTACTTCAGCCTCACATAACAATCGTATTGCATATAGTGCAAGTGGCTGTTCGACTGTTTTCACGTACTGGGTGAAAATATTTCCACACTGCTGACATTATAACCACAGGGTTGTTAATGCTAATGTAACAGACTGACTGCCTTGTCCTGTGTTTATGTTTTCAGCTTTTTGAAACATGTGTCCCTGGAGTGTTACCATAGGCTACAATAAAGCAGTTGTTATTACTGTAATCTGGCCGGATGTGCACATGTATGTTTGTACAGTAAGGCAGGAGTTCCCCATCATGTCCTGTTTATTAATTTATTAAGTATGTAAAGTTATGCAAACCAAGAACGCTCCAGGGGTAGGGCCACACTAAGTTACTCGCGCTTTTAGGTTCTGTCGCTCAGTGACAGCTCACGAAATTGAGTGGGGTGAGATAATCCACTAGGACGTCAATCACCACTCAATCGAAAATTGAGCAGATCAGCTCTGATATGATAGTTGAGATCTGGATTGGGATGTCCCAGGTGACTATAAACCAAGAAGTGCCTTTCAACATGTAGAGAATCAGGGCTGTCTTGAGGGATAGAAAACACTAATGGTTTGTGTCAGGAGTGAGAAATCTTTCTGGATGTATTAAGCCTGTAGATGAACTCTCATTTTGCGTTTAAAACACTCCCTTGATTTTGATACTGTTTTGGATGTTAATGTATTGTCTGTCAGTTTATCATCTCATTTCAGAGTATTTCTCTTGTATTCATTCAGTCAGGCTTTTAGAGTAATACTGGAATAAATCACAAGGTTACTTTCAGTGTTTTGCACCAATTATTATCAGTATTTTTAAATCATGTTGAACAATGAAACGTCTCATAATTGAATTTCCTGGATTTATTTTATGATATGAGATGGAATTTGGATGTTGATTTAAAAGGCTGGCCGCCTCAACTTGTACTCTGAAAGTTATTGTAGCCCAGCTGAACTGTAGACTGTAGTCCACTATTATGTCATTTTGTTTACACTACCCCCTGTATAATGTCAAATTGAATTGCTGTCCTGGATGTCACATTAGAATCTCTTGTTTAATACTGAATAAACAATGTGAACTCCAACTATGTGTATAACTCTGTAAATTGTTTTCATTTGCTCCACATCATTGACATTATGGTACAACTTACTTACTAAATCACATAAATTTGCACATTATGCTTTAGTCTGACCTACTTATAATGTCTGACACGAACCTAAATAGGTAGATCGTATTATAATAATAAGTAACAATAGAACAATCTATGAGGCAGATCAATTCAACTTTGTGTTTATGGTTTTCCAACATCAGAAATAGATATCATACTTAGACTTAAAAATGCAGCTTGGTATTAATCGGATGGGTGTTATATAAGTGACATGACACTGAGTCTACAAGCCATAATGGATGCCAGTCAGCTCTGTCGCTTTAATGAGAACCAGCACGTAAGCTCGGCTGCAGTTTTCTGCAGGTGGGGCCAAGTCTTGCACATCATTTAGCAGATTTTGTGAGACTCCAACCCAACCATCATCCTGGTGTCTGTGTATACTCTACTGAGGAATTTTTCATCACATTGACATCAATAATCCCCTTCATTATAGCCGTATGCATGTGCCACAGACCTTAGTAGAGGGGATACAAAAAAGACTTGCGTATGTAAAGCTAAATTCAGAGTAGATCCATGTGAGTCAAGTTCAGTTTTACCATGTGATAGGAACGTGGCGGTAGTTTTACAAATGCACACACAAAAAAGTCACCCCAACTGCATCCCCAAAACACTAACAAAAAAAACAAAAAACAAATGAAGTCCTACACCAAGAAAAATGAGTTTGACATTTGGTGTGTTTCAGGGGGGCACTTGATCCCATGGTTTAGGACTGTGGGAGTATTTCAGAGAAAAAGTAAAAGTAAAAATCACTGATTATAAACTCAACAAAGAGGATGAAATCCACCATTTAAATAAAATGTGAAAGTAGTTGTAATATTCTGTCAGCATGAGCACTATTATGGTAGATTAACTAATCTACATTTTGGCTTTTTTCCCCCTCTAATAACAAATCAAATGATTTTTCCAGTGTTTTAGCACTTTGTCATTAATACATTGTCGCAATATCTTTTCAGCAGTTTTTCTCATCACCCCATCTGGTTACTTTTCTCTGAGTTGAAAGAAACAGAAAGAAAACTGGGAGGAAAAGGAGAGAAAACCGAGCAACAACTGGGCTCATGCAGAACAGAGCCCTTTAATGTGTTTTTTTAAAGGCTTGCCAAAGTCGTTCAGTAGGAATGTGTGTTAAGGCCAATACATCAGTGTGTGGAGCAATAAGGGGGACTTTTAGATAGTCTTTTTCTTCTGCCTCATTTTTTCTTCATTTGTATCGCCCCCTGCAATGATCTTAAACTAACTAGCAGTGATTTTTAATGAAAACAAACTGTCACGTCTTGCGGGGTGAAACAAAGAAAAAGACCCAAATGCAGGATGAAAAAAGGATTTATTTAAAAAAGAACTAAATAAGAAGCAACAAAAACTCATTAAAATGAAACTGAAAAATTCCCTGAAAACACAGGAAGCAAAAAAAATCCAAGGAACTATAAAACACTAAGGACTCACTGGAGACACAGGCATATGTACACGTCAATGTACTTTTACAAACAATGAACCAACAGAGAAACAGGGGAAAACAAGGACTATATATACACACAGGGAAACAAGCAACGAGAGGCAGGTGAGACACTGAGACAGAGAGGAGGAAAAACTGAGGAAGTAAAACAAGACTAGAAAGACAGGGAATAAACTACTACAAAATAAAACAGGAAACACTGAAAACCGATATAGAGAATAAAACACTGAGAACATGAGGGGAACGGGGTCAGACACAAACTGAAAACTTACAAGACTGGACTACAGGGGATGAAGAACAATAGGGGACAGAAACACTAGGTAAAATACAAAGAAAACAACTCGAATCTCAAAACCAGGTGAAGAACTGAATCAACAGAACATATCATGACACAAACACTGTCATTAGAAGAAAAATAATGAGGTATTTTGTGTAAAGTGCAAACAGTTAAGTTAACTTCCAACTCTTTTGCTCAAGCTGAAGCGGCCCCACACCTTGCTACGCTCACTTTCGTTTTGACATTTGTAAAAACAACAACAAAAAGAAAAAAAGTAAGAGAACAGCAAGTATGCATTAAATATGCATTGTTTAAAAGAATCTGTCAAGTTAAATATGGGCCATTTTCTTAGTTGTGTTTACATAATATGATTTACACTACACCCCTGGCTTTTTATTTTAGCTGTAATAAAGATGATAAACGAATTATTTTCAGCTTATTATTCAGACTGTAGTGAGTGTGAGTCTGATTATTTTGTCAACCTCCGTCTTGTCAAACTCACACACTCGTCATCCTCTAAAATAAATACTCTGTATAAATAAATGAAAACAAATCTAACTCACGTACATCATAAAAATGAGGAACACTCGATATACTGTAGGCTACTGCTCTTCATGCCTACAGGAAGACCGACTGATCATCTCAGTAATTTTCCACGTATTTATCATGAATCAAACTTGGACCGTTTGAAGCGTTTTCAACAACAACTCGCCGATTAATCGGTCAAGGCCTTCTATGGGTACAGTTTCCCATAGACGGTCAGAATTTGTTGTACAACCATATAATGTGAAGGGTCCAACTACTGCAAAAAGTTTTTACAGTCCCTATATAGCTGTGTGTACATGTTTGTATGTGAAAAAAGATCAAATCCCTGTATGAGGGAAGCATTCAAATGATTCAGGTCACACAGAGAGGCAATTCAGGCTTCACAAGTGGGAGTGGAGACACAGAGGACATCTTTTGTCCTTATTTTGTTTAATTTCTTTTTTTTTCTTTTAAAGTAACCAGCAGTTTTTTTGTGTGTGTGTGTTTTTTCATGGAAACAATCAGTGTCATTAGCAGTTGTGTGGGTTTTTATCCATTCAGAGGGTGCAGAGTTTTAATCAGCTTGTCTTTCTTGTTGGCTGTTGTACAGTTCACTGAAAGAAGGGTAATAATTGGCCCTGAGATGAGTTCATGAAAATAAAAAAAGGTCCAAATACTGTTTATCAGCATGGGTCCCCGTATAGCTACATGAGCGAGTGTGTGTGTAAGTGCGAGAAGATAAAAGCATGTGTATGAGGGAGGCCGTTCAAATGACTCAGGTCAGACAAAGAGGCGATTCAGGCCCTGAGTAGGTGACAAGGCGCACATCTCTGGACATCTGCAACTATTTCGCAATTAAACGGGCTGTTGCAAACCCCATTTCATCCCTCATGAATGCACACATGAATAAACACGTATGCACAAACTCAAAAAATAAAAAATAAAAAAACATCTAAAAAACAAAAATGATTCACAGCCCCTCCAGAAATTTCACATGCAGAAAGCGGGCACAGGGGACAAGTGGCTATTGAATATTAACCATGAAATTACAAAGGCTGCATTCTAATGGAGGTGATGGGGTCAGAAGCTGGGATGGAAATCATAAATTAATACCCCTGACATGACAAGCCACTCGCCCTTGGCTCTCACCAAACACAGCTGTGCCCCTCCCCCACTCGAGCCAGACAGACACCCAGAGAAGGAAATACTCAATTCATTATTAATTTTGGGTCAAAGGAATGCCACAACAGACACAGAACTCATACAATATGCCTGATATTTTTCTGATGTGACTATTGTATGAGACCACAACCAGCTAACCTTCATGTGTGGCTACATTTATAGAGGTTATTGTTAAATAACCCTTAAATGTTCCTGAGAGACCTCTATTACAATGTCAACTACTCTGCATTCTTTGTAATCTATTTCAACCCAAGCCTTTCATCTGCGCTTTGACAACATATTTGGGATCTTTCTGAATGGCCATATGGTAAAAATGCATATTAAGAAGTGCACAGAAGGGTGTTGAGTTTGGCATTGCAGGACTTTGGGAAAATAAATGATTTTGTAAAACTGAATATGTATCCCCTTTTCTTTTGGCTGCAAACCTTCAGATTAACTCATTTTTCCTCAAGTACACGTAACTCTCATGAAAACACATTAATTTGTCCAAAGACGGATTCAGATATGTGTTAGGTCACTAGTTCTTCTTACTCATGTTGCCTCAACAAAACACTAAACTTTGAAGTTGAAACACTTGTCACAATAAATTATTCATTTTCATACAAAACCCCGCCGTGCAAACCAGGTACTGTCTCCTCTCGAGCTTTACAAATAAAGTCTGTCACACAAAAAAAACTCTCCCTCCAAATAAGAGTTCAAGTCTGTTCGAACCGCTGAACCAGAAGAAATCTGCAGAGAGGGAGGACATTTTTCTGAAGTGTACACTTCTTGGATTTTCATAAGAAGCAGTGAAGCATAAAATGGACTTGTTTTCAAGCTCGACTAAATCACAGATAAAAAATCTTCTATCTTAATTACCTGTGGTGTGCCTGCACACAGTTATGCTCACATAGTTCTTTGACAGCAACCACTTTGAGAGTATACGGTTCAACACTGTAGTTTACTGGGTATTATGTTCAAGATTGAAGCACCATACAACCTCACACTCAGGGTTACCTCCACTACTTTGAAGACAGAGCACATAGCTCTCAAGTTGCATTCATGCGACACCTCAACACCTTTACCCTTATAGTTAAGGCACACATAGTTTTGTGCAGAGACTGAACCGCAGCTATTTTAACAAGACCTCAGATAGAAATTGGCCTTCAACTTAAATTGCCTCAAAAAGATACCAAACTTTTCTGAGCTGAAGGGCAGAATTCTGACTTCTCTTAAAGACAAAATTCTAAAGCAAGTTTTAAAAAAAAAGCATTGTAATCAGCGTCGCTTTTTTTACACAGCCAAATCAGATTCTTCTTAATCTCAGATTCAAAACAAACATCCAACCCAAATATGCAGGAACACAGACAAATGGATTGAGAAAACCAGCAAATCATCCTGAAAGGGAGCAGGAGATCCATGGTGCCACAGCCGGCTGTAAATCAGAGGGAGGAGAACTCTGTTGAGTCAGTGCATCCCTACAAAGAAACATCTTTTCTTCCTACATGAGAGACAGAAGCAACAGAAAAGATGGAATAGACAGAAAAAGAAAGGTTATGGCATCACCATTCACTGCATGCATTTATATTTGAATATAAATTGTAGAGATTACAGTCAGATTAAAGTCATGTTCTAAAATATAACTTGGAAACACTAAAATGACAAATCAAAGCTCACGGCAACAATCGATTTCACTAAAGCATTTTCATAACATGGCACACTGTGTTCATTAGATGCTGATTACATGTTCTCCACTTTAACAGTGCAAAGCAGTGTTTTACAACAAGCTCAAGTGAACCAAAATCATGGCACAAAGACAAGCTTGGATCAGCAGCAAAAATGTGTGTGTACTGTATCAAGTTACTGCCGCTGCAGGACTACTGAAGGAACCACAGCGCGGTGGGCTTCCATGGAACATACACTTGCTCACATGCACACTAACACAAAGACATACGCACACAGAGTTGGCAGGAGCGAGACGTTTGTTTCTGCTTCAGTCTCACGGAAGCAGCAGAAGCAGCAGAGGAGCAGAGCAATGAGCAGCGAGAGTGGGTGGAACACAGCCTGGGCGGAGGATGGATGACCATTTGCATGTGTGAGCCTTGAAAAGTATCCCAGACCATCTGATATGTGTTTTGACGTCAGCGAGTGTGAGAGAGTCAAGGCTAGGAAAAGCTTTGTACGGTAGCTGAAGCTCGGCTCTATTACAAGTACTTTAAAAAAGATTTGTCCTAAATGTCTCTTCTTAGCCCTTCACTACCATTGTGATCCTGCAGCATGTTCTCATTACAAATATCTATGTCCAGAGCTGATACTAACGCCCTCCCTCACTTCTCTTGATCAGTGCAATACATCTTACTAACACAACAATGACAGATAGATTAATCTAGTGAGCTGGATCCCTTTGCTGTAGGAGCATCCGTAGGATAATGAATTCCTGATGAATCACATGAAAAATCTTGCTCTGAGACACATGAGAGCCATTCAGCTTTGAGGTTACGCAGACCTGCAATACAGCAAGCATGACTGAACAATCTGGAGTCAGTTTGGTCCTTTTTAGACACTCGTAAAGATGCAAAGCTTTCAGCTATATGCACATTAGTATCTGTGTCACTGAATTTGGTTGATTTTATCATTTACTTTCTACTTTTTTTCATTTCAGAACAGGCACTCAACCCTAATAGATGCAATAGAGAGTCTGAATCCTCCAAATATCTATTAGTTAGGGTGACCATATTCTGAATCCCCAAAAAGAGGACACCACTACGCAGGGGCAGAGTCACAGAGTCGCACAAAGTTAATTTTGAGTGATTTCAAGGTTGGTTTGAGTGTCTTTTACATGCTTCCAACAAAGTAAGTTCACGTGACACCAAAACAAATCTTACGTATGAAACCGTGGACATTTGAAGGATTTTATAAACTTCCCTGGACGAAGCCGGACAAGCCCGGACAGCCTCTAATATGGTCACCCAATAGAAATATCCTCTTGACAACTACCGCTTCTCTTTTTCCACCAAGCTGCTTCCAGTCCTAGTTCAGAACCAGTGCCTAAATTGGAACTGGTTTGTTGCCTTTCCTCAAAAGGCCTCACCCTGGGCCAGAAAAACTGGTTCTAGAAAAGCACCAATTTCTTGCTGGGCTAAAATAAAGGAATTGCCCGGTGGGTCCGGGTTTGTTGGATCTGAAATGCTAAGGCTATCAATACCAGCATAACAGCCAAGGTTGAATGTATGGAAGAATCAAAACAATCTTTTTTGAGCCTCATAGCTGTCTGTAGCTTTCCTGTTGAATAGAACTAGTTCTCTGGACCCTCTGTGTTTGGGTATAGGTGGATGTTTGTAAAGCTAGGAGCAGCACTTGAAATAAGACGATGCCGTCTTCAATTGTCATCATTCTTTAAGACAATGCACAAATTGTGCTGGGAAATAAACAATGTATTTGCATAGGGACATAGTGATGTGGTTCATTTGCGGCCCAAGTCATTGGAAAAGTGAACCGATTCTTCAACGGTTCGGGAGTTGAACCAGCACTAGCACCAGCCCAGAACTGGCTCCAGTTTGGTGGAAAGTACAAAGTACAGTATGTGAGTACATTTCAGGTCTTGTACTTCAACTCTAAATTCAGTTTTAAACAAACTTCACAGCTAGCTACGTCCATAAGTTTGCAAACATTGAACTTTGAAAAACCATGCTGTGGTGTATTGGACGGAAGAGACACCACAGAGCGGAGCAGTGACAGAGTGCACTGGAGTGAACTGAAGGATTTAGTTTAAAAACACATTCCCACTCTATTGGCCACAACCACTCGTGCAGAATTCAACCACACTTTATCCTTGTCTCAACTTGAAGCAAGTTTAAAGCAAATGCAGAAATCAGTTAGGGTTCATTAAAATGCTTCATCCATTCCAGCTGCTTGTGAACTCAGCATAAAAAGAGAGAAGGGCAAACAATAAAAGAGGAAAAATTGAAAAAGGGGGGAATATAACTCTTAAGTGAATACATAATGAGTGCCATGTTAGCAAACACATGCACACACACCATCAGCTCAATCACTGTGTTGGCATCCGTTGCTCACTCCAAGCAGAGCTCCTGTCAGACAGGGGAGGTGCATTCAGAGCAGACACTGCCACTTAGGAGCTGGCTTTCATCTGTGTGGGTGGGAGATGCCAGATACCCAGTGTTGGCTCTGTGTTGGCTCAGTACAACACAGCCTCAGTTTTGGCTCTCTGTCGGTGAAGAGTATTTCCTCTGTTTTGGCTCATGTTATATGGCTGTATTTTTGGTCTGATGACTCATCCAGGGCCTTGTAAAAACAGTAAAACTCATGCAGCTGACACTGTAATTTATTCTAATAATGTATAATTAATCAGCACTAATTTGCTCAGCTTGTTTTCACATTTAAAGAAGTAGCTTGATGATAGCCCACAGCTAAATGGCAGAGTGACAGTACAGCCAGAGGAAATCACATGAAAACTAGAAATTTCTCTCTGGCATGGATAAAGAGTGGTTTCAATTAGTGCTATTGTGTGTTCAGTGGAGACATTTTTGATTGTGTTTCAGAGCTCAAAGTCTCTAATGGACAATCTTTAATTTTAGGTAGCCTCATTTTGTAAAATATTAAAAGAGAAATGCGGTGAATCTTGTGTGAACCTGGTGGTTTGACGGTCAAGTAAACCTTAGTGGAATAACCTGATCACTACTTTCCTGCTTATACGTATAGCTTACGTATAAATAAGAATTTTTGCACACATTTTGATTTGGAAATGACTTTTCATAAATAAAAATGTTCCTTTTATCTGTTATAGATAGTGTTTGGGGGTTCTGGTTGATCTTGGAAGATTAAATTCTGCACGCCATCTACAGAGGTGCCTACGTTCGACTCTGGCCTGCAGTCTTTTGTTGTCTCCCACTGTACCTCCCCAGTCTCCTGCTTTTTTTATTATCCTGTCTAAAAAAAGGCATAAAAGCCTGACTTAAATTATTTTAAATGTAATTTAAAAGATGCATGTGTATTATCTGTAACAGTTTTAACCATGTGTTAAGTAACTGCAGCCTTCTTGGAATGAGTTAAGCTATCTGTCATTACTCATTTAGCTGCAACTAACCTAACATTTCCACTGATGGTGAGAAAAATGAAGTGAACAGACATACACGAATCGGGGCCTCACCTGTTTGATTTTCACAGTCTGTCACTGTCAAAGAGGGTGACATTTTCTTATTCATTTATCAGTCATCAAACACATCCTTAACAATTCTGTGTTTGCTCAATGCGTCATCTTTAATTCATCTTTGATAATGTCGATCCTTTTGGTGCTGCCCCCAGGCACACTTTTTGACTAGTTAGTCCAGAATCTGGAGCCACATCTACAATAACTGGATGTTGTTCATATTAGTGGCCTGCTGCCAAGAAATAACAGACTGTTGCTTTGTAAATTTGACCAATAAGAATCAAGTATTATTATCAGTATTATTACCTCCGCCAAGGAGGTTATGTTTTTGGTAGCGTTGGTTTGTTTTTTTGTTTGTCTGTTAGCAACTTTACCGAGAAAGTAACAGACAGTAAGAGTGTCGTTGGAATTTTCAATGCTGAAAGATAACTAATGAAGATACAAGGAAGTGTACACTTACAAATATTTCACAATAAATCATGCATTTATGTATCTAATATGAGCTTTGTTGTTTTGGGAACATTATAAACAGTGAACATACCAGTTTAAACACAAATAAAAGTTAATAAAAGACAAGTAACAGTAAAAGTTTTGGTGTGAATCACAATATAAGGGGGGACATGAGCTGCTTGGCGGAGGTCTGCGCTCTCCGAGTGCTTTTCTAGTTAAGTATAGAATCAGCTATGCAATAAGTAATAAAAACAAAATGGTCTTAAATAGGAGGTGGGAATATCTGTGGTCTTCCATAATGAAACACTTATCGCCAGGTGTCTTTCTTCAATTTTTGAAGCACCTGGGAGTTATAAGTTTCTGTAATAGTATGACAGCCTGTAGATAGATAGACAGACAGACAGATAGACAGATAGATAGATAGATAGATAGATAGATAGATAGATAGATAGATCAGTAAAAAGGGGATAACATATAGTAACTGATGCTCCCTCCATGTATTATGTGGGATTATCGCCAGCCAAGCGTAAAGATAAAAGGAATGTCAGGCACTACAAATGTACCAACAGGAAGAGATTAAATGCTGAGGTGAGAAAAACCAAAGAGAAGTGGGAGACAGAAAGGGGCGGGGAGGCAAGGAACCCCACTGTTTTAAGGGCCGGATTATGTAACTTCTGGCCTTCAGCCAAACCCCTCTGGCTGCCCAACGGCGGCAACGTGGCTCTGAGGGGCAGAGGGGAGGAGAAGAGAGGGGAGACTCGCCCCCTTGACACATCCACATCCTCCCATCCTTTATCACAGACCCCCTACATCAACCCAGAGTCTCAGTTCTGTCCCCTCCTGCTCCTGCCTTCACACCACCAACCTAGTTCACCTTTAACCGTCCTCATTGCAGAATCCAGACGCTAATTTTTTAACATCATCTTCAATAATCCTGACAAATAAACATCTTAGATATTTGAAAGCCCAGCTTTTGTTTGAGAAATGTGATTTCAAACTGAATTTAATTTCCTTGTTATTACTGTTTGTGGAAACGTGAGCCCTGAATATGACAGCGCTGAAAAGTGAACATTGGGTGGATGGAAAGCCAAGGGTCCGTTTTGCTCTGCGGAGTGATGTTGACTTGCGGCTAAGAGTGTGTTTGTGTGTGTGAATGTGTGAGAGAGAAAGCTAGCTAAATGTCAGACAGGCAGTTGGCAGGCCACACAAAAACAGGCTCTTGTTTTTGAGTCGAGCTGACTCATGCCACCTTAAGCAAACAGGCAGCACAGACCAGAGCCTTGTCCTTACACACACTCTTAATTCACACAAACACTCTCTCTCACACACACTAATTCACACAAGCACACACACACAGAGAATGCAAAGGTAACAAGTCAACATCTCACAGGTCTAAACAGTCTCTCCGGTTTCTGCTACGTCTCTTCTTGGCGTTGAAACACACAGCTCTGCCTATTTCACCCTGACCTACTCCTGCAGAACCAGAGCACTGTGCTGCCAGTTGAAAAACCAAATGTGACCACATATATTGGGTCATCTGAAGAAAAAAAACGAATGTGAAGGAGTCCATAAAGGTAAAAAACCCACTAACAAAACTCCATTGTTTCCCACTACCAGTGAAAGCAAGGAGAAAGAGGGAGGGACACAGCGAGGGTTAAAAAAAAGAGAGAGTGAGATGAGGGAATGAAGTGAGAGAGTAGCATAAAGTGGAGAGAAAGAGAGCTTTCAGGAGGAATTTTATCCAGAGGTGGTGTTTTTGAGGGAAGGTGAAATCCAGAAACACACGTAGAGCCTGGGTAAGGGGGGCTGCAGCCCTCCGGGGACACACAGGAAGGGGCGCCTTGTCCACATAAACACTTCTTTCCTGTCCTGTGTCAGGCCGAGCGCCTGAGACCATTGTCTCTGTGTGACTAAAAGAAAATAAGACACAGTATCGACATAGTGGGTGGGTGTGATGGTAGTAATTAATGAAAAATCTGGTCTCGCTGACCTCACTGACGATCCAGACCTCAGTGGGTGTTATGGAAGAGAGGAAGGTCAGGACACAAGTTGCAACATAGGTCGGAGTAATAGCCCCGAGACTGTTTGGGTCATACTGCTCCCATCACTATGACAACCTCCAAGTCCATTTCCCTAAAGTGCCTGTTGCTCTTGTGTAGTTGCCCACCTGCCATTGCATGTCCACTTTGGGGAGAGGGCGGCTTTCAAACAAAGACAAACTGCAGTACATCACAGCTCTCCATCAAAAACACCACAATCACTGATTTACAAGCCAACATCCCAAACCTCTCATGTGTATTTACTAACTATGTGAGAAAGAAATGGAATCAGACCATTACTGTATTTTACTGCCGCAGTTTCCAGGGTGTAGTTTATATAACAAACCCCATAACTAACGGTTCACTGCTGTTTGCCTGACTTTGGCCCCGAAAGGGTCAGTTCACATAAATCTCATAAAAATAAAAATTCTCACCTTTCTCACAAAACTTTCTGGTGGTTCATTCACACATACATTCACACATATATACATACAGATCTACATAGACATACAAACATAGGTGATGTTTTGTTTACAAGATTGTGAATCAACTTTTTAAAAAATTACTGTAATAGTTTGTGAACATGGATCTAACTTTCTGTGAATTCTTGGCTGATTCTTGTATTTTCTATGTGATACTAGAACATTACCTCGTTGCACTGGTTTCCGATTATTGTGTCTAATATCCTTAGTCCACCTACTATGACCTCCTCTCTGTCATTTGTTGCCCTTCTTCTTGGCATACAAACTCTGTTCTGTGCTGAGTACAAAATCTGCCTTTTGTTTTACTATCCCCACTGCTGCAGAAGAGACGTGTCGAACAATAGGTTTAAAACTACCTTCCTCATTGCCAACAGCAAGGTTAGAGTTAAAAGGGTTTCATAGCTGCAAAAAAATACCCAAAATATTTACAACACCTATCTTTGCATCGAGGTATTGAAGTGAAGTGCATTCATTCAACATCACTGTCATCTGGATTTATTTTCTCTAAAGCTCTGTGGGAAAAATGGAAAGAAACCATTTCTACTTCTGTCATCTTGAAGTCCCACATTGCTGATACCCAATTGCATAAGAGGTCATCGAGGTGTGTCTGTTTAACCAGTTGAAAAATGATGCAAAATCAATGCAACACTTGAATATAAAAAAAGATGTGTTTTCATCAGTTCATGCCCATGGCTTATGGATGATGAATCCCAAAAATGGCACAAAGTCACAATGTTTTGAATAAAATGGCTAAACAACCACTGTATGGAATCTGCTGAGGCAGCTGTTAAGGAGTTGGACCAGAGTGTAGACAGTAATGAGCAAACTCTTGCAGTCCATCATGCACTTTCAAGCTTTTCAAGCTTACAGGAAGGTAGTTGTAAGTATGCAGACAGGCAAACTGGTATCAGGAGACAGCAGATAGGCAGGCAGGAACAAAACTCAGGTTCAATAACAGCAAGACAAAACACAAAACAAGAGAGCAGCAAAGCATTGCAATGAGAAAGAGTAATTAAGGTGAACTAGATAAAAAGTCCCGAAGACAACTGGTAAGTGAGAATTTAACTCCATAATGGATCATGTATAGCATAAAGATGGTGAGCAGTGAGCAAAAGCATAAGGGTGAGTTTTAAAGGTAATGGCTTCAACATTTAAATTCACTAAGTTAAGACTTAACCTTTTTATTTGTCATGATTCATTCATCAAACTTGACAAATCCACTGAAGCTGACATGACACGACACAAGGTACACTGGACTTCTGGAGAGATATTTATGTCGACACTTCTGTCCTCATTCAGCTCTCCTTCTTCTCAAAGATTTGGAATTGATTTTTACACTGTAATAAGGTAAATACAGGGGTGAAGGGAACGCCTGGTTCATGCCTGGTCACACAGGAAGCGCCGCGCGCGGAACGGCTCGCGCACTGGAGCGCGGCCGCTCCGTTTCTTTCTATTTTTTGCGCGAGCGGCGCGCGCCGCAAGCGGCAAGGTAAAGCCGGACAGAGCAGATCGGACCAGACAGGAAGTCGGGAGCAGGAGATGCGAGAGAATCCGGTCAATTTTCAAAATAAAATATATTTCAATTAATTAGGAAAAAAGGATTTACGGTGTTGCTTGTCAGTCTATTTTTTCCCGATGAACACGCATGCATGCACGCACGCACGCACGCACGCACACACACACACACACACACACACACACACACACGCACACACACACACGGAGGGAGAGCTGCAGAGATTCAGTGATGTTATTGAGACAAGGGGGGGACTTTATTACGATAGTCAATAGCCTCGAGCTAACAAGGCTACACATACAACGGAGTCAACAGACTCCCCAATTCATTCGTTGTTTACCCCTATACAATAATTTCAAACAATACTTGAAGATGCTGCCAATATTTAATTTATGTATGACGTAATAAAAACGTAAATAAATATTGATTTACCCATGTTAAAAGCGCTCGTAAGTGTGGAGAACTGAGGGCAGACGGAAACAGCCGAGCACTGCCGGGCTCAGTCGATGTTTGACCGGCGCTTCAGAGCGCAGCAGAAAACGCTTTATGTGTGAACAGCTAAGCGCGGCGCGTCGGCCTCCTGTGTGAACCAGGCGTAAAAGCCGGTATGCAGCGGTACGCAAACTTTCACCCCTGCAATGTATGTAGGCTACATTTGCTTACCATGTTGCCGCACGTCAGTCTGCACTCTGTAACCGTAGCTATCCAATAGGACCATGCTGCTTTTGAGTGAGTCATTTTTGCTTCCGCAAACAAACAGACTGCAAAAATGGGCGCGCTTAGTGCGCACTTTTTATTGGACGCTGGTTACCTAGGCGCTGGGGACCGCCTCCCGCCTTTTGCGGAAGGAGGGAACTTTCAAAGAGACAGCTGTTTCAATATTAATGCAGAAACTAAACAAAACGCAGGAGAAAGAGAGATGCAGCTGATGACGAAACTGTGGCATCAGAGTCAGCTTCCCGTTAAACTTGGGTGTGCTCCTCGTGTGCAAAGCCTACAGGTACAGTACCTGCAAGAACCTAATGCTACTTTCACCCCTGGGTAAATGTCAAAAGATTAAACACTGTTGAAATCCTTCAAAGACAAAGTTATTTTGTTGTGATTGGCAACTCAGAGTTGTACTCACTAACTGGGCTGGTGTTGTCTCGATTGTTGAACAGGACCACTTCTCCATCTCAGAGATAGTTGGGGTCCAATACCACTATTTCTTGACTCTCAAGACCAGTACGGGGCAGAAACTAATGTTTTTACTATAGTGTCAGCTAGCATAGGTGAAAATTTTTGGGTCCACTTTCCACAGTTAGTTTAAAATAATGTGCGTGTCACTTTTGTCTCAGAACCAATCATGGTTGGGGTACAAGGTTTTGACAAATCAGAATCAAGTGTTCATCCACTTTTTCTTTGTGTTGGGTTATGAACATAGACTGTTTTTAGAATGGACAGTGTCTGCCTCCTCACTTGGTGAAGCTACTCCGAGAACAGCACAGCCTGGCGATGGACTGCAGTATAGGTCATAAATCGCGCCTTCACCAGCGAAGCTTATGGGACTGTGGACAAACTTTAGAAATTAATTACACAGAATATAAATTTTTCTCCCCCCTGTTTGTGATGTTGACATGTAGTTACTGTCAGACTGGTTTGTACTCAAGTCCTCTTTTTTCTGTACAGCTCTGTTTTTAAGTTATTAGGGGGTTCATGTTTTCTATGATTGACATTTGATACAGCCTATGGGTGTATGAAGATTGCGTAGCTCACCTGGGGGATACGCTGTTTGAGCCGAGCGTCATCACAGTGACTCTCTGCGACTCTCCCGCCGAATGCGTACAATGCTACTGCGCAATGTTGGTTTCAGGAAATGGAGAAAAAACGTGGAATTACCAAGAGCTTTTCAGCTTCAAATCTGTATACTGGCGGAGGGTGGGACCAATAGTCCATAGTATATACAGTCTATGGTTATGAAGGATGTAAAATGCATTGTTTTTAAGCAGAATCTTTTGTCGCACACAGAATAGGCAGGGTATTTAGTGTAACACAAAAATTATGATGCAGTAACCAACAAACCAATTAACGATAAAACACAATAGTTTTGTTCCCCAGCTACTCTGATTCGATATATTTCAGTGAGTCTGATGTCAGATACGACCATAACATTTGAACTTGTGACTCTATTAGTCATGAGCTTCACTCTATTATCAGCCTGACAGGGGCCATGAAGCCACCAGCCATTGCAGCTATCTTAGTGTCCTATCTGTTTTTGTGGCAGGTGGGAATGAACCTGTTCTCAGTTTGCTGGATTCTCCATGATTCTCCTATAGGAACGTCCTGTTAGATAGGATGATGCCAGTGGAGATAGGGGCAGGAGGCGGCTCTGCAGACAGCTGGTAATGATGTCCTCTCACATGCCGTACCCCGTGGATAATGGCTGTGGCGAGGGCCTGGCACACAGAGCAAGATGAAACAGAATCATTGGTGTAACGGAGTCTGGGGTGCAATCGGCTGAGCAGCCTTGTCTAGTCATCTTGCTCTGATTCTAGGCTACCAGCGTAGCGTGTAGCTCATTTCACACTGTGATTCTCTTTCCTCTATCAAGATCTACTAGTTGCCAGATTGAATTCAGAGGAACACAATTAGGTATTTTTTCCAGATGTGATGAAAAGTGATTGGATAACTTCTCTTTGCTTTCTTAGCAGGGAAATCAGCTCCAAAGAAAAACTCGTACTGAAATAAATGTATCCTGGACACTTTTTAAGACTTCGATATCTACATTCAAGTTGTTCTTCAGAATGCATCCTTTAATTTCAAATTCCAAAACAACTAAAATTTCTGAAATCTTTCTCCAGGGGCAACATTTGTGATTAATAAAAACGTTTCTGTGGCTGATGATGGTTCCACACCTGACAATATTCTCCTCATACATGTGACAGAGAGGAGCAGAGCTGCAGTCTCAGCTGCTTCATGGATGAGAACCACATGGAGGCCGGAGAGCCAGATAGCTCAATTACGCCGCACTGCTATACTCCTGTACTACTAACAACAGATTGACTGGTCGGTTGGAGGTATTAAAAAATGCACACACAGACACACACACATACACACACACACACACACATTTTGCCCAGTGCATCAAGTCTTCAGTTCAGCTTGACTGCCTCTGTGTCGTTCTTTGAGTGTATATGTGTGTGTGTGTGCATTTCCTCTGCTGAGGCCTTTGCAGTGGCCGGTGTTGCTGACCTGCGAGGGAAAAGAGAGGAGGAGAAGGGGAGTGGAAAAGCCAATTAAAGGAAAGATCACTTGTGTGTCTGCTGGAGTGTCTCTGAGAGCCTCTCACGGTTAACCTTTCTAGCTAGAGAGTGAGGAAACGAGAGAGGAACGAGGGAGAGGATAGAGAGGAAAAACCAGCCAGGGAGATCAGGCGTTTCGACTTTAATGGTCCCTCAGTGTTGGAGTGAAGCTGGTTAATTTGCCTTTCCTTCTCTGGGTGCTGCAGGGTTTAGCTTCTGTCAGGCCAAAGCTCTGGCAGAAAGTTGTGCATGAATAATAGAGGCCATGTGCAATGTGAAATAATGTGTGTGTATGTCCCAGCAAGGTGGACATCAAGAGCAAATGACATCGGCTGAGCCTCGTTCGCCTTTATGTGAGTAAAAAAGCATGAAGAGGTTTAGTTTGTCTCTCGGCATTTGTGTTTGCAAAACCAAGAGTGTGTGCCATGCATGACAGTGGCTGAAGAGAACACAAATTGGGCCTAAATTAATGGGTTTGTGCGAAAACGTACGTCTTTTGTGTATGTGTACGTGATTGGGGGGCAGGGCTGCAACTGGCAGTGTGTGGCAGCATAAATTGGGGTTAGATTAATGCGATGCGGATCTGCCATTGTGCTCTGACCCTCATCAGGGCAGAGATGAGCTGTGTATCTCAATTAACCCCGACAGCGCACAGAATGCATATATACAAACAGCTGCAGAAATCTGTGCAGATACATCACACATGGATATAATCAGGCCAGACAAAGAAAAAAAAGGAAATATATCCAAAGATTATTTAGGAGTGTATCTTAACTCTATGGTTGATCAGAGTGCTAAGTTCTTGTGTGACTGTAAGGGAAGAAAGTAGGACCATCTCCTTTTCTCCCCTTCTCTCATTTCCTTTCACTGTCTCTCGTCTCTTTTCTCCTCCTCTCTAATTGTATGCATGGCATGTAGATCCCTGCAGTGATGCCAGAATGATTGCAATTAAAGGGAATCTCCCCCCTTCACCCTCCTCCACCTCTCCTTTAACACACACATCCACACACACACACACCTCTCCAGTTGAAGACCACTGCTCTTGGTGTGAAGTAGCAGCACCCAGACTTGAGTGGTCTTAATCAGACTGAAGAGTCACAAATATCTTTTTTCCCCTCCTTGAACTAAGCCTCTTTCACTGTCTGTCTGTCTGTCTGTCTGTCTGTCTGTCTGTCTGTCTGTCTCAGCCTGCACATGAAAAGACTTACAATGTAAAAGAGCCAGACAAGAATGCATGTGCAACCTTCAGGTTTACATATGAATACTGATGACTGAATATCATATAAACTACATGACCAGTCTACAGTTTATTGTAATTGTAATGGACAGTATTATGATGATGATTACCTTGGTTTGTACCCAGGTTGTGCAGTTTCTCTTGAGTCTACAATAGTGAACCACACCTGTGTGCAGTATCAGCTATCCTATTCTGGGCAGTTGTGTTGGAACTCTGCAAAGAACTGAAATCAAGAAGGTCAAAGAAAAAGGCATGACTCCTCCCAATGGCAAGAGGAGGCATTACAGAAGGGTGAGGCAAGAGGAGGTGAAGAAATAAATACGGAGGGAGAAAATTGACTCCTGGTACGCAATCAATAAACTTCAAACCTGCATTTTGACAGAAATTTGGAAACTCTTGGCAGCCAGAGGGAGACTAAAGGATGTAAAAACCACAAAAGTTTATGCTTTGCAATTTGATTGTTATCTCCCATTAGAGAAATCAAGTAGCTTTCCCTCTTTTTTATATAAAACAATGCAGTTATTATAATAAATGTTGGTTCTGGAAGAGACAATGTGAGCTGTGACGAACCATTACTGGGTGATTAATCCATTGCTGGTTCAGGACCTTGACTGCTGATTCAAAAAAGCAACTGTGAGTTGCATAACTGATCTCCAGGTACTTAACCAAAATAATTATGATAGCCATTGAGCAACATACAGTGTAGTATAAATATAGTCCAGATTTAGATTTAGTCTAAACTTGGTCAAAATTTAGACGTCTAAAAAACTTTCATTTTTAGACCTGTGATAGTCTGATTTTAGACCAGTCGTCTGGGCTACATTTAGATGTCTATTAGACCTGTTTTAGACAAAAAAAAAAATGCTCAGTGAGTTCTATTAGAGAAATCAAGTGGCTTTCCCTCTTTCTTTTATAAAATAATGCAACTGTCTTGAAAAATGCTGGTTCTAGAAGAGACAACACAAGCTGCGATTAACCATTATTGGGTGATTAAACCATTGCTTGTTCAGGACCTTGATTGCTGATTTTCAACATGAACAAATAATGGTGGCGTTGGTGTAAGATATTGGCTCCAATGGAAAGTTTCTGACTGTGGGGAACATTGCTGGCTGTTAGTTAAGCACACTGGCTGTAAATAAAAATAGCTAGCCTTGAACAATCATTTCCAGCAGTAGATAGTAACTTCTGGCTTTGACTTTGATTTAAAAAAACTATTACTCCCACTGAGCAATAGACAGCTATTAGACATCTATTTTTTTAAGACCTAATGTCAACTGTCTATATTCAGTATTTTTAGTGGGAATTTAGATGTTGCACCCATTATTCAATAAAAATTTATTACAAAAAAGCAACTGTGAGTTGCATAATTAATCTCCAAGTACTTAACCAAAATAGTTATGATAGCTATTGAGCAATATACAGAGCAGTATAGATATAGCTCAGATTTAGATTTAGTCTAAACTTGGTCTAAATTTAAACATCTGAAAAACTTTCATTTTTAGACCTGTGGTAGTCTGATTTTAAAACAGTCGTCTGGGCTACATTTAGATGTCTATTAGACCTTTTTTAGACAAAAAAAAAATGCTCAGTGAGTTCTATTAGAGAAAACAAGTGGCTTTCCCTCTTTCTTAAATAAAATAATGCAATTATTATAAAAAAACAAAAAAAAACAAATGCTTGTTCTGGAAGAGAAAATGCAAGCTGAGATGAACCATTACTGGCTTATTAAACCATTGCTGCTTCAGGACCTTGATTGCTGATTTTCAATAAGAACAAATAATGGTGGCGTTGGTGTACAATATTGGCACCAATGAAAAGTTTGTGACTGTTGTGAACATTGCTGGCTGTTAGTTAAGCACACTGGCTGTAAATAAAAATAGCAAGCCTTGAACAAACATTTCCAGCAGCAGATGGTAACTTCTATCTTGACTGTAAATAAAAAACTATTACTATGATTAAACATTACTGTCTGTCACCAACATTGTTTGCTAGGAAACAAAATCTGGTGGCTATAAATTACTATTGCAAATTGTTAACAAACATTTCCATATTTCATTGAATTTGCTGGCTGTAAATCAGCATCGTTGCATATAAAGAACATTGCTGGTTACAAATAAAGCTGGATATGAGGAATTGTTGCTGTCATAAACATGGGTGGCTCTTGACAAACATTACTGCCTGTGGTAGACATTGCTTGATTGATACACACATGACTTGCTGTAAATAAACAGTGCAGTGTGTCACAAACATTGCCAAGCCAAGACACACATTGCCTCCTTTAGTGAGTTAACGTTGCTGTCTGAGAGGTGATGGAATAAAAGACGCATAATCTGACACCTACAGTAGTGGAAGTGAAGGAATGTGTGATGCTCTCCATCGCTGTGTGTGTGTCTGTGTGTGTGGCTGGCCCGCTGACTGGCCCAGATGTTGGCTAATTAACACCAGTGTTAAAGACGCTCTTCATCTGGGTGATTAAATAATCAAATAATTAATTCATTAAGCAGGGGCTTGCACTGCCTCTTATGATCTCTGGCACACAGCCTGTTAGGGTGGGAAGAAAGAGAAGAGGTAGAGAAGGGTAGGAAGCAGACTGCTAAAAGATACGCAAGGGCCAGAATGACAAAAGGGAAAACTCAGCATGAATGCCAAGAAGGTGTGTTTTAGGGTCATAATCACACCTGCTATAGATATGCATTCATTTATCGACTTTGGGCCAGATGCTTTGTGCTGCGACAGAGGGAGGGTGTGCCCCAGAGCTGAAAATCTTCATTGAACAGATTAGACTGAGGCAACAGCGCACTATAAAATGGTCATAACTTCCCACGTAGATATCTGTATTTATATGTTTCATTATCTTCCAAGGCAAATGAAATTAAGCAAAAGCCAAATGCGGTGGAAGAAAAACTTCCTCTGCGAGGATGTGTGCGTGTGAGAGTGTATGCGCGTCTTTGTGTGGAAGTGTGTTCCAGACAGAGAAAGATCATCTCTCATTACTTGGGGAGAACATTGCCCTGCGTTAACAGAGTCGGAGCAGACAGATAGATGGAGCAGAGATATAAGCTGATGGGGGCCAGCAGAGAGAAGAGACACAGAGCGATGAGGAGAGTGACAAAGATGTTTCATCATTTCTGCTTATTTCCACGGGTGCAAGGTGGAAGCATCAGCTGGGCATGCACCACCTTTAAAAAAAAAAAAAAAAAAAAAGCCATGTACCTCACACACACACATATACACACTTTCATACACACACACGTCTAGGCTTCTGCAGCCCTCATTTTAAACACTCCTTTAGCCATAATCATTTTCATATAATTCACTTTCATACAATTCCTTCTCCTAATCATTATCAGGCCCACTAACGTCTTAATGACTTCATAAATTTAAGCTATAAAAAGTAATGGAGAAAGACAAATGAGATAATTAGGAATAAATCTTAGTGGAAAGCCATTTATCAAAACATGGAGAGGCCCTGAATATTCCCCACCATTAGGCTCTGCTGTAATTAACACGGGCTCTCAGTTATGAAGGAAACCTGGTAGCAGAGATATTAAGATCCAAAAGCCTCACTGTTATTAAATTGACCGATGAATCTGCGACGTATAATATGATGTGGATTATTAGGATCCTTTTTAAT